TCCTTACTTTGTTAACCTGAAAATAAAATAAAAAATAAAATAAAAATAAAAATTAACAATATACATGTACTGTACATAGAAGTATTAAGAACTAACATAACACCTCTAATAAAATTACTATTATAACTAGTTAAAGTTCTTAGTAAACTTTTTAACCATAAACTTCCATGCAGAGGGAAGACTTTCGGCATCCCTCGCATTCAAACAGCTTTCCTGTAGTCTACTCCTATAAATCTGAATCCTCTCAGCAGTCATCATCATTGCAAGTATACACGTGGCTGTTCATCTTTTGCAAGCTTGTTAATGTCTGAGTATTTAACTTGATTTTTGATAAATATGAGTGTTCCGACGTTTATTGACTTAACTGGCGAAGAACAGGTGTGTTTATAATATTTGATTTAATAATTGCTTACATTGTTATTTATTATAAATACTACTAATATGACGATTTTCTGTTATTATAAAGCCTAATTTGTTACTGTACATAATGTAGTTTATGAAACAGTATGATAACATAGGACTTAAAAAGTTAAAGAAAAAATAAAAATACAATGGAAAGTAAATAATAAACTTTTCTTATTTGTTTCAAATACAACTCCTTAATAGAGTATTTATTATTCATTATTTGAGATTAAATATAGATTAAAGAAACTGTCATGGAGAAAGTAAACATATTCCGAATGAAAGTGATGTAACAAGTTTTCATTTTAAATAAAAATATATAAAATTTTATAATATGTAAAGATTTTAAACAACATTTACAAACATTAAATGGCAAAGTTATATTTAAAGTAATAGATATAAATTTGTGCTGTTATTTTTCTGCAGTTTGATCATATATTCAGTCTTTGTCTCTCTAGAATGTCCCAAATTAGATTTAGGACACAGTTTTTGTTTCAAACAGATAAAATTTTATTTCTTCCAGGCACTGTTAGTTCTCTGTAGGCTATCTTAATATGAAGTAAAAACCAAAAAGAATTATTTAGGTGGGAATTAAGTTTTTATCAAATTTTCATTAGGAAGCATTCTGTAATCTGTGTCCAAAAAATAACTTTATGCAAAGCCAATACTGTTATTCCAGAAATGAAAACATACAGAATTTATCTGCAAATACCATATTATTTCTCAACAGAATCATTGTCTGTTCAGGCATTTCTTATAATGCATAATAAACTTATTCAACTTGTTCTTTAAAAATTTCCAGTTTTGTTGCTGCAGTTATCTTGTGATAGCTTTTGTTTCTTCATTGGTAGCAAATGCAAATGTATACCTTCAAATGTGAGAAAATTTAAGTCAGAAGGAGCTTGATCTAGGTGGTATGGGAAGGTGATGATGAGCCTTCTATCAAGACATCTGTAGCAAGTCCATATTCCACTGCTTTATGTGAGTAATACTCTGACTAAGGAATCCAGCAAATTTTTCCTGATGGGGTCTTTCACGGTTTAGCATATGAAATGTTTTTGGCACAAAAAACCAAATAACAGTTCCGACTTCTTCATGAACAGTTAGAAACTATGTTTCTAACTGTTGTTATTTGGAAATACAGTAATATTGTTCCATACTTGTGTCATTCTATTTGATATTGCCAGTCTGGATCATTACTAACTTTAGTTTTTAAACTGTATATCGTACACAGTTTCTTTTGATCACGTCACATATGTGAATTTAATAAAATTTTACTGATGTGTATCATGCAGTATCAGCTTAGTGTACAAGCTACTAAACATATGTCAACAAATAAAATTATGTTGGCAATATACTTTCTATCATATATGCACTTTTAGTTTCCTCTTCAGATAAAAATATTAATTTTAGATATTGTTTTAGAATATTGTTTCACATTTTTATCAATTTTTGCAAATTATTTAATGCTGGAGTTTGTTTTAAGCTTTGAAGCAAAATATTTTATAGCGTATTCCTGGATTTAAGCTTCATTTGGTTTTTGTTCATTTAGGGATGACCTGGAATCCTAACAGAGTGACAATAGTGCTCTGTAGGAAGCAGAGATGATCTTGCTTATAAAATTCATTCATAATTTTTTATTAAATATTGAACTATTTAAGTTTTTTAAAATACAATTTAATTGAAGTTAATATTGAATAGATGAAAGTGGATGATGAAAGTAACTCGTTTGAAACAGATCCTTATCTTTGAATCAAACCTTATCCTTGCCGAGAAATATATTTATTTCAAAAAACAAACGTTTTCAGCCTGATTTACAGGCCATCCTCAAGTTGAGAATGAAAATTGGAACTAAAGCACTCCATTAATAGAATGCAAAATTCAAAATTTAAATAACCCACAGAATAACAGAAATAATAAAATTATAAATTAAATATCCACGGAATAACCTGAAAATAAAATAAAAAATAAAATAAAAATAAAAATTAACAATATACATGTACTGTACATAGAAGTATTAAGAACTAACATAACACCTCTAATAAAATTACTATTATAACTAGTTAAAGTTCTTAGTAAACTTTTTAACCATAAACTTCCATGCAGAGGGAAGACTTTCGGCATCCCTCGCATTCAAACAGCTTTCCTGTAGTCTACTCCTATAAATCTGAATCCTTTCAGCAGTCATCACCAAAGATGGGGAAGATAAAGGTTTGATGATGGTTGCCTCATTCCATTTGACTACAGAGCCTCGTGTTTGTTCCATTTGGGACAAAATTGTTGCATTAGACTCCTTTCTGATATTATAATTATGTTCCTTGAGTCTAAGTCCCAAACTCCTGGTGATTACTCCAATATAGTCTTTTATAATATCGAATTGCATATTCTCGTATGGAATTCTATAATCTTTTGCCTTCTCCTCTGACTTTATATTATCTTTATCATTTCTCAGGATTTTGTATAAATTAGGGGCCCTGGTATATATTTTTCAAAATTTTGTACATAGCACAGTTATGCTCTTTGACTGTTAACTATAGTTTACATAAAATACATTGGGTAATACCAATAATTTGGAAATTTGTTATAATGAACACTGAAAAATAGTTAAATTATTCAACTATTCTGTTAATGTACTGGCTTTGGAGAGGATTCTCCTCTATTGATGATAATAGTTGAAGAATTTGGATTTGTGAATCATCCAGAGAATACATGACCACTGACTGACAAGTTGACAGACTAATTCACAAAGAATTTATACATGTTAAACATTATGTATTGAAACTATGTATTAGTAAGTGTTTCCTGTCACTCATATCTATTTGCATTTTTATTTTTTATGATCTATAGAGAGTGCTACATCTTTGCAAAGTGGCTACATTTATATTAAACTTAGAAGTAGCTGTTTTATTATCTTAACTATAATGATGTTTATGAACAGATTTTATGAAATGGGTAAAATTACTACTAGCAGGTTGTATTATTTAATGTGGAATTATCAAAAGAAATGAACAAAATCATTCAAAATCAAAACTTGCTGAGTTAAATTTTTAACACTATTGTGTTATATTCTGAATATAATTAAAACAAAATCTATTGTCTTGTATTATATACTAATTATACAGTACTGTCATAATCTGAAAAGAGGGAGAGAAAGAGGCTGGATGACTAAGGTGGGTTAAGGGTCACTCTGGATGACTTGGGATTGAATTTAGATGAACCAACTCCACAGAAATTTTTTTATGGTGGTCTAAGAGCATTTCAAGCCTTGTCTACTATCTGGCTTCTCCCGTTATGGGCCTGGTTGAACCCACATATGGGAAAAAGATTTCCTTAGTGCCTATAGGGTAATGAGGAATTAAAAAATAAGGAAAGAGTTTAGAGAGAGAATATTTCAAATCTGACCTCAGGAGCTTCAAACTTATGTATTTTTATGTATGCTCCTGAGATCTTATGCAGACCTCAGGAGGAGATTGAAAACATTCATATTTTGTTGAAGTATCATTACTAGAAGGACTTAGGCTTTTTTGTTGTATATTTTGTGTTTTTTTTTTTTTTTTTTTTTTAATTNTTTCTTAGAAGCAAAAATGTGTGAATAAACAAGGAATGTAGTTTACAAACAATAAAAAAAAAGAGAGAAAAAACAAATTGTAAAGAAATAAACTGTACTAAACTACGAAGTTCAGATGAGTCATAGCCAACTGGCGGAGAGAGAGAGCGGTACAACAACAGTAATAGATATATATTGACTTTTATCTGAATGGCCCTGGTAAAAGTATGTTTTACAATACGGAAAGGTAAGCATTCGGTGAAAAATGTGAAGAGTATATTAGAAGTGTTAGATCTGTATATGCAGAATGCAACGATGATATTTACTGTTAGTTTGTATGGCAAAATTTTCTTTAAATTATGTGAAATTTAAAATACATGTGACTTATTTAGAATGGCAACCCTCATGTAAGTTGTGAACCCACTATAGGTCTTCACATTACATAAATTTTAATCATATCAGTATTTAATAATTCTAATATTTTCAATTGACGATAAATAACTATTATTCTGTAATATTTGATCTACAATATTTTTGAGTGTTTTGATCTAATAGTTTTATATAGACCAAATGGCCAAACAATCAAGGTGGCAACCTACCACTCTGGGGGACCCAGGATCGAATCCAGATGGGTAAAAAAAAATCCCCAGGAATTTTTCGGGGGTGGTCCATCCAGATGTGTCAGGCCCCATCCCTCAACACCTGGCTGTCCCATTGTGAACATGGCCGAACTCATTATGGGCTTGCTAAAAGAGGCTCTCTTAGTGTCCACAGTTTGGAAAGAGTTAAAGAAAAAGTTTTTATTATTGTTGATTTCAATAAATTGATTGATGCCTCGCGTGAAGAAAGCCTTTAAACTTCATGCAACCAGCCCGTTGGTTAGCGCGAACATGACTATGATTTTCGGTGGTTATAAAACTACCGAAACTGATAGTTATTTACAGGGCCTGCCGTCTGCCGTGCTATGATACAGAGAGGTGGCCCCAAGACGCGGTACCGTAAGGGTGCAGCATTTAAAGGGTGGTATTTCGATGACTTGTATCATACTGAGAAAATCTACCGCACGGCCCTGGTTATTTACTTACAGCGTTGGTGAGCCACGGAGAAGAGTCAAAAATAAAACTAAAAAAATTGTGAAATACATACATAGTCTTGTTGATCCCCTGGGCACTAAACACATTGATGTCATACACACAACACAAGCGATTGAGTAGTGAGTGATGCGACCTGACGCACTCGAGACAGACCGCCCATAAAATATTTTTGGGAAATTGTTCTTCTCGGATTCATTATAGCGAGAGGCTGACCATAATCCTCTTTGGCCACATAGCCAGCAAATTCTAATAACTGTTCTTCTCAATTGCTAAGCAAGAAACAGGTTGAAGAATTCCAGGATAACACGACGATACACTTGTCGACAATAAAAACAGTCATTAATATCTAAATTTTGATTCATTGTGAGAAGCTAAATAAAAAATATAAACAGGTAAAATATTTAGCTTTCATTTTTGTGTAGGAGGATTCTGATCAGACGTGTACAGTACCTTGTTAGTGTTTTTGGATTCGCTTCTCTCCTGAATTCTAATTTTTGCATAGACATTAATTTTGAATTTTTTATCAATAGCACTTGACTTAGCCTAATAACAACGTGGCGNTGTCAAGTTTACGGACTACGGCTGATTGAAAGGTTTTCTTCCATAAAATTAATCGATTCTACACTAATCTGACTCAACATTTCCAAAATACGTATATTTTTTCGTAGTTTTATAGGAATCGTAATTATAGAGACCGTAATTATAGGGGGGTCGACTGTACTGTATAAGGTGAAATTCTGTATGAATCTGTGCTGCACCTCAAATAATTCCAGATGATTGCCTTGACACTTATGCAACCATTTACAATTAACAAAAAAATGTTAAAATAGGTTTAAAATGTTTTATGTATGTTTTTACTACATATACTGAATTTTATAATAAAAATAGTGTGTGTTAATGATCAGAATTATCCATTGCATCTGAAAGTTGACCTAATCATATGCCATTCGTGAAAGCATGAATCTATATATATTAATTTTGTGTAAAATGGGACTTTATTGTATTGATAATTTTTTTAAAGAATTAAATTCACAGATAAATATTGTGATAAATAACAAATGAAAATTAAATATTAATTAATTTTTGTCTATTTTAAGGTGATACTGAAAGAGTGTTAAATGGCATTGTTTCATTGCTCTTTGTCATTCCTTATGATAGTGGAGACCTTTTGACTGCATTAGTTCCTTACTTTTGTGAAAAACTAACAAAAGCACCTACAACAAAAATGGCTATGGTCTGTCAAAGAGTGTAAGTTAGTGTTTTGTAACAAATAGATATTATTATCCATATTTGAAAATTTATTTTGTTATTTTAACATAATTTACCCTTGTACGGCTAAGCATTTTTAAAACACAAACAGATAAGGTGAGTGCAGCATTTATTCTTTGGAGTTATATACATTTTTTTTTATGTTATTATTATTTGAACTATATTATTAGTACAAAACATGTTTTTTATTAATCCTTTAAATTATATTATGCCAACATATTTTATTTCAACTTATTTTTACATGTTTGACGTAGAAGTCTTTATCGAATGTTGACTGGATACAGTATTGTTGTATACATCAAAATGTTGTTTTTGCATTCAAGTTGTTCATAGAACACATGAAGCATCATTTTTTCTTTTGTGGTTCTTCTCCACTAGAACAGTGTATTGGAGCTAACTTGTCTCGCTCTAATCTCATACTTTATCATAAAATCTAACACACCACAAAAGACTCTTGAATGATCAGTGTCCCATAGTAGCTCTGAAATAGAACTATAAAGAGAAATTCACAAAACTTCATAACTTGTGTTATTGAGTTTCAGACATCTTATAGTAAGTAGTAGTCCAAAAATAGTTGTATTTGTATTATCAGATAGTTTTTATTGGTATATCAGATAATGGTTACTGTATACTCAGTTTCCTGGTTTGTAAACTGATTTGTAGCAGTATATCAGAAGTTACAATTAAGTGAAAATTGTCAAGTATATTGATAACTTTCTTCCAGGTTGAAGAGTGACTAGCTGGTATGTGTAAACCACTTTTTGTAATACAGTAATGCCTTGAAATATGAGTTTAATTCGTTCCAAGACTGAGCTTATAACTCAAAAACTCTTGTCTCAAATTAATTTTTTTTATTAAAATTAATGGGAATATTTCCGATTTGTTCCAGGCCCCTAAAAATAACCCTTATTTTCCTAAAACTTACCCCTATTTTGGTATTTGTGGGTTTCTTAGAAGCAAAAATGGGTGAATAAACAAGGAATGTAGTTTACAAACAATAAAAAAAAAGAGAGAAAAAACAAATTGTAAAGAAATAAACTGTACTAAACTACGAAGTTCAGATGAGTCAGCCAACTGGCGGAGAGAGAGAGGAACAACAACAGTAGCATAGTCTACGACACCAAAAATTAATNCTGTATCAAAAATGGTAAAGAATAACATATAAACAATAAATCCACAAACCTAATTTTCAATTAATGACAAATGATCTGCCATATTATCAGACTATAACAAGACTAATTTAATAATTAGATATAAAGTAATTTGACTGGAAGAGGCAATTAAGCTGCCATTTCATGATAATCTTAATAACTGTAATAAATTAATTTTAATGTTTTAATTTAAAATGTTCTGGATTAGTCCGGAGCAGGACTTAAATCCATAATTCCTGCTTATTTTGCAGTTATGCTATCTGGACCTCCATCTAGTCAAATCACTTCATATCTAATTATTAAATTAGTCTTATTATAGTCCAATAATACAGCAGACCATTTGCCACTGATTAACACATGCAAATCTCTGCACCTTTTGGAATATAAGATGAAAAATTCTATTAAACTCTATTACTTAGGCTTTCATTCCAGTCCATTCTAAGTGGTACCAAAACTGAAAAACAATTTTAGTACCACTTAGGATGTACTGGAAAGACTGAAATTATTAGAATTTTAGTGTAATTTTCATCTTAGTCTCCAAAAAAAGAGCAGAGAACTCTATATACCAAGTTTGATAAATAAATTTCTTTGCTATAGATTAACATATAAGAAAGAACCCAACAATAGTTATTTAAAAATCCAATAATACACTAAAAATTTATGCTGATTAGTAAAGGTTTGAATTATTTGATACCAATATCTGGTTTTGAGTTGTTTTAACTATTTTTTTTTTTAACTTTACTATCACCTAACACTTAAATTAATTTTTGTCATCACTAAATTTTGACATTTTTGGGCACTTTGTCTTCACTTTTATCAGCTGGCCATTTCAACATAAACCTGTCCAAGGAGGCTTGTTTCTTCCTCCCTTTTAAAATGTGTAAGGCAAGTGTAATTAACTACAGCCATAACACAACCAGTGGCAATTTTTACTGGATATTTTCTTGTGAGTACTAAGAGGGCTCTTATAGCAAGCCCATTATGGGTTCAGCCAGACCCACAATGGGGTGGCTGGGTGGTGAGGGTCAGGGGCCAACATATCCAGTCAGGTCATCCCTCAAAATTTCTGGGGATGTTTCAACCTGTCCAATTTGATCCCAGGTTCCCCAGAGCAGTAGGCTGCCACCTTGACCACTCAGTCATCCGGGTGTTTTCTCTCAACAAATTCTGTAAATTTTTTCCACATTACCCATGAGTTCTTTAATTTCACCTTTAGCGATAACCTCGTTCAACTCTGCTCCACTGCATGGTATCAATTTCCTGTATAACCTTGCTTATTTGGTCTTTCTGTAACATTGCCAACTCTTCAGTTGTGAGTTCTTCCAAATGCTGATCTACAAGGTTGTTTACATTTCCCTCATTTGTCTCCAGACCCATGGACTTTCTGATACAATCTCCAATATGAGGTACATAATCTCCTCCATCACTTCCTCTTCCTCTTTGGGTTCAAACCCTTCAAAATCTCTTTCAGCCACAGCATCTGGCCATAGTTTCTTCCAGACAGAGGTCATTGTCCGCTTCATAACACTCTGCCAGGCCATGTCAATAATTTTGAGACATATCACAATGTTAAAATGATCCTTCCAGCACTGTTGAAGGGTGATGCTGGTATTTTCCATAACCTCAAAGCATCATTTGAAAAGGTGCCTGATATACAGTTTCTTGAAATTGGAGATCACCTGTTGGTCCATTGGCTGTAGGATAGGAGTGGTGTTAGGATGAAGGTAGAGAACCTTGATGAAACTAAACTCCTTAAGGATGTCATCTTCGAGGTTTGTTGGGTGGGTTGGTGCATTATTGAGAACAAGAACAGTTCACGCAGTAGATCATTGTTGTCCAGATATTTTTTATGGCAGAACTAAACACCAAATTTATTCAGTCGACAAAGAACTATTTCATCACCCATACTTTTGGGTTAGCCCTCCACGTGATGTGCAGTTTTTACTTCAGTATTTTGTGTGACTTAAAAGCTCTTGGGTTTTCAGAGTGGTATACGAGAAGTGGCTTTATCTTTCAGTTGCCACTCGCATTTGCACTTGGTGCAAGAGTTAGGGCTGTTTCACACTATGACCGACTGGTCCGACCCAACCGATTTTATAATCGGACCGACTAGTAGTAAAAGCATTCACACTAAGTACGATTATATGTCGGTGGCCAACTCATAAGGACCAATCAGAACGTGTGTTATAGATCAATACACTAGCCAATCATGGTAAGTTTTTAAAATTAAACAGAAAACATGGCTTCGTGGAAAACAATCATGCATTTAGATATATCGCATCATTATTAGATTAGTCAATTGCGTATCTTCAACGTTTAGTTTCTTGGAAATCTCCGTCCAAGAATTATTTTTTTTTATGTTGTCTTTATAATCGGCTCGCCGAATATCATAAAGCCACGGATATGTTCTGACTTCGTTCATTAAAGCTTCCGAGAAATCTATATTTTCTGCTATTTTCTAACTTTGATGTAGATTGGATAAATCTAAACTCTGATTGGTTATAGCTTCGAAGCTCTCATTGGCTGTAGCTCACCGACTACTCCGACCCGACTACAAATATTTAACTTTTCAAATCTGTCCGACTGGAACGACTAGTCGGTCGGCAGATTGCTGTTGCCATGGCAACACGACTTGGAGTCGGGCCAGTCAGTCATAGTGTGAAACAGCCCTTAACCTGTCCTTCATTGGTTTGTGGCCTGGCATCTTCTTTTTATCTGCTGTGGTTTAAGTTCTCCTGAGCATCTTTGTCCAAAACAGTCCAGTTTTGTCGCAGTTAAATACTTGCTGGGGATGAATCCTTAAGTTTCTATGGTCTCCGCAAACGTTTTGACAAAGTCAAATGTTTTTCGGCTGCCTTGCTGTCTGAACTGGACAGCAAGGCAGCCGAAAAACATTTGAGGCAACATGTCGTTAGGCATGTTGCCTCATCATGCCTAACGACATGTTGAATGCTGATCTTTTTTTTTTTTTTTTTTTTGAAATTTTTGATCCAGCTGTGGCTGGCTTTAAACTCCTCTTCTGCTGAAGAGCTATTCTCTTGTATCAAATCTGAGAAAGGCATTTGTGCCTTTTTTGCACAAATGACTCTGCACAAACTTTTTTGCAGATGATAGCCTTGGTCAAGGTGTCTCTAGTGAGCTGCTTCTCCATTATTTACAGAATAAGTAATTTTCCATTTTCTCGTGGACTGAAGTGCATAGCTTTGATATTATCATTACTCCCTTGGCTGTTGTTATACCCTTTATAGAGGCTTTTTGTTTCAGTATCGTGCATATCATCGATGTAGGATGCTCATACTGTCTTGCCAAATCCATTACACATATGCCTTGTTTTTATTTATTTATTTGTAAATTCCCACTTTACCTCAAGCAAAATCATGTTTTTTGTTTTCACCACTGCTCTTTACAGTTTGATAACAATGGCATGTATTGTGAGCAATGGCAAACTTTTTGAACATACTCGACATTAACTTGTTATCACTATGTGACAGTTTACCTTTCTGTTGTTTTTTATGTGATGTTATCAAACTGTATGGACGTAAGTACATATTTTATGCAATAAATTGTGTTTATTTCTTCATACCTATGGCTATTCCTTTCAAATGTTTACACAAAATGGCGTGCATCACTTTTGGACGTTTTTGGGTATACAGGTGACAATTTATCTTATCTGTGTGAACCACATGTCGTTTCGTACTAATTAATTGATGCTCTAAAACTCTAATTGGAAAGTTTGCTCTATCTGATTTTGTTTTTGATTTGCACTGCCTATCTTCCAAATTTTGCCACTAGGGGCGCTGCTGTTGTTTGCATTAGATCGGACGTAGTCACTTTACTATACTGTTACCTCACTTGCATAGTTGTAGCTCTCTCCATTTGCAAGAATTTTCCAGTTAAAGGGACTTTCCTATGCACCCTGTATAATGCAGTGTACATTTTTGTTTTAAATTCAAATGATCAAGAAAACCAAGTAATAAATAAATTGAAAATTAATATTCTAATTATTGTATTGGCTTGAATATAAGTCAATTCTTAATTTTAGAATCCTTACTTTGTGAAGAAAATTAGAACATGAATATAAATTGACATTTTATTATTAATTTTATTTGCATACAAAAAATTGGCAATTTTTATTAAAGAAATTTGGAAAATCATTGAAACAATACTTTATCATTCATTATCATCATTCCTATTACCCATTTCATTGCCATCATTGTTTTCCACCTCCTCAACTCCTCATGCACTGTCATCCTCTGTTCTGTCCAAGTTACTTGTAATACAGCATTTCTTAAAGCCCTTTATGATTCTGTCTTTAACAATTTTTCAAATTTCTACTGTAGTTCTTGTACAAGAATATATAGAATTTTTATGTATGTGATTATGAAAATTAGTTACATTCAATTACATTTTTCTTTCTTTTTAAAATTACTTCTGTTAGTTAGAAAAATTTTTTTAACTTTTGTATTGACAGATATCTGGGAATCAGTCAGCATAAATAAATTTTTGATTACTTTTTGTAGTGATTTTTGCAAATTGCATTTAAATTATATCTAAGTCAATCAGAAAATTGTACTCAAAGGGTTTGTTTTATAGAAAGAAATACTGTATATGAATTGGATACCAATATCATGAGTAACAATTTGTAACTTGTCTTTTTTTTTGTCAATATCAATAAAAATGAAATTAATAAAAGCTATACACACCACTCCAGTACAGAGTCAAATTAAAAACATCTTATGTGCAGTAGACTGCCCAGCATAATATGTCACATCAGAGAAAGTATATAAAAGTTTAGTTCTATTATGAAACATCCCAGAAACCAAATTCTACCATCAGAAGAACAGATCTGACTTTTTTTGGCAAATAAAAAAAATTTGCTAAAAAAAACTACAGGTAACCCCCGTATAACATGGCACTTCTATAGCACGGATTCACTCTAACACAGTTCGAGAATTGGGAACATCCCCATATAACATAGTGCTTTTATAGCATGGGTTCACTCTAACACAGTTCGGGAATTGAGTAAAACACTCATACAACATAAAATGTAATAAAGGGTGCGTTCTTTTATACGTCTGTGTAACTCTGCGCGAGCATTCTAATTGTTTTCGTGGCTACTTTGAATGCTCTTTCAACAAATAATTCATTTAATGATTAAATTTTACAATTGTGACCCTTCTTTTGCCTCTAAAAGCTCATTTTAGAATTATAGATTCCGCGACACGATACTATCGATAGTGCGGGTGCCGCCATCTTTCTTTCACTGTCGTTCCTAAATGCCTACAAACAGCAGCGCACTCCTGTTGCAGAGCGACAGCTATTAACGAACGCACCCACAAACTGTTACCAGTTGATGATGCTCATGCTGAAATCATCATATAAAATGAATAATCCTCTGGTAAAATATTTACTTAAATAATAAGTAAGTATTTTTACCTATGAAAAAATGAATAATAAATCCGATTTAAATAAGGGTTTAACAACATGTTTTTTTAATTTTTGGAACCTAACCCCTCTTTTCACACTAGTTCTTTGTTTCGTGTAACATGGATTTGCATAACACGGCAATTTTTTGGAACGTAACTCCTGTGTTATGCGGGGGGTTACCTGTATTTACACTGGCATTAATCAACAACAATGTAAAAGTCAATAGATTATTTAATAAAAATATAAGAATATTATAAATAAAAAAAAGTTATTAAATGATACAATGTGCTACCATTAAATTAATAATTATTGATATTAATATTCAAAAAATTTTGTGAAAGGTGCAAAATTCAATCAGGTAGTGATTAAATGAATTTAATTCCAGATGGCCAAGGCATCATTTTTTATGCACTGTATACTATAACACATTAGTAGCCCAAGTATGACTTATGAGCCAAGAGATCTCAAACATGAATGATGTGATTTAGGCAAGATATCTGACTGTTCAAAGATTTAAAAATAAAATGTTTAGATAAAGAAGGATATTATCAGCATCTATTCAATAAATAAATTGATTGAAATTTATTAGTCAGTTAATCTGACTGATAAAATTCAAGAAACAATAGTCTCATGAAATTAACTTTACTTCACTGTATTTAATTGCCACATTATCAATTTGCATTTTCTTTCATTTGCTTTCTTTTATGTTTTAATATTTATATGTGTAATTTTATCATCATGGGTAATTAGAGCTTGTATGTATAACTGACCACCATAAAACAGCAGTATTATAAAAATAACATAATAAAATTATATTAGAAAAAAGGAAAAATTATAAAAATAACTTATTTCTATTTTCATTTAAATTTTTTAAATATAAATAAGTATTTTTTTTTTTTTCAGGTTACAAAATCTGTATGAAGGTTTACCAGAGCAGTCATCATTACGTTATGATGTCTATTATAATATTATCAAAATTGCCAAACAGACAGACACTATACATCAAGTTTTTACAGATATAGATAAGGTAGAAATTTAAATTATTTTTTTAAAAATGACAATATTGTTATATTTCTATATTAAGTGCAAATATTTGATTTGAATTTAAAGGTTGAATGTGTTTTTGAAAGTTGATAGTTAAGGTGAAATAAAATACACACATTACCATTATAAAAGCTATGAAAGTCTTTACTTTTTACAATATAATTACAATGATTGATACCTGCAGATATTTTAAACAAAGATAATGAACTGTTAGTCTGTCTTTTGAAAGTAATTAAGGATTTCTGTTTTTCTGTTGAGATTTTTGTGTCTTCATATTTATCTAGACTGCAGAATCTATAGTGAACTTTGAAAACTGATGTGATATTACTTTACTCTGCTTGCTGTGCCAATCTGCAAGTCCAGTAGGTTGCCAAGGTTCCAGCACTCTAAAATATGACATTCTTTCACCATTGCAAGATGACAAAATGATCTCAATAATAATTCTTAGAAATTTTATAACTCAACTGACTATACAAACAATGAATATAGTATATTTCTTTTTTTGAAAATTCATCTAGTGATTAAGTGTGTTAAATCCTGAAAATATGCAGAATTGAAAGATGCCAGATTTGATAACATTAAGATTGTGGTTTGGAAGATTTGAAAGGCTGATGAAAAAATACATTAAATCAACAATAATATGGAATCAGTAATACAACAAACATTAAATCAAGTTTATACTGTATATATATATATATACAGTATAAACTTGATTTAATGTTTGTATATATATATATATATATGTCGTATTATTTTGCAGTCGTAGTCATAAGGTCGAGTGTAGGTTGAACAAGACAAAGAAAATTGGAGACCATAAAATAACACGTCCGTTCACTTTCGGGTCCNGGGGGGTTACCTGTATTTACACTGGCATTAATCAACAACAATGTAAAAGTCAATAGATTATTTAATAAAAATATAAGAATATTATAAATAAAAAAAAGTTATTAAATGATACAATGTGCTACCATTAAATTAATAATTATTGATATTAATATTCAAAAAATTTTGTGAAAGGTGCAAAATTCAATCAGGTAGTGATTAAATGAATTTAATTCCAGATGGCCAAGGCATCATTTTTTATGCACTGTATACTATAACACATTAGTAGCCCAAGTATGACTTATGAGCCAAGAGATCTCAAACATGAATGATGTGATTTAGGCAAGATATCTGACTGTTCAAAGATTTAAAAATAAAATGTTTAGATAAAGAAGGATATTATCAGCATCTATTCAATAAATAAATTGATTGAAATTTATTAGTCAGTTAATCTGACTGATAAAATTCAAGAAACAATAGTCTCATGAAATTAACTTTACTTCACTGTATTTAATTGCCACATTATCAATTTGCATTTTCTTTCATTTGCTTTCTTTTATGTTTTAATATTTATATGTGTAATTTTATCATCATGGGTAATTAGAGCTTGTATGTATAACTGACCACCATAAAACAGCAGTATTATAAAAATAACATAATAAAATTATATTAGAAAAAAGGAAAAATTATAAAAATAACTTATTTCTATTTTCATTTAAATTTTTTAAATATAAATAAGTATTTTTTTTTTTTTTCAGGTTACAAAATCTGTATGAAGGTTTACCAGAGCAGTCATCATTACGTTATGATGTCTATTATAATATTATCAAAATTGCCAAACAGACAGACACTATACATCAAGTTTTTACAGATATAGATAAGGTAGAAATTTAAATTATTTTTTTTAAAATGACAATATTGTTATATTTCTATATTAAGTGCAAATATTTGATTTGAATTTAAAGGTTGAATGTGTTTTTGAAAGTTGATAGTTAAGGTGAAATAAAATACACACATTACCATTATAAAAGCTATGAAAGTCTTTACTTTTTACAATATAATTACAATGATTGATACCTGCAGATATTTTAAACAAAGATAATGAACTGTTAGTCTGTCTTTTGAAAGTAATTAAGGATTTCTGTTTTTCTGTTGAGATTTTTGTGTCTTCATATTTATCTAGACTGCAGAATCTATAGTGAACTTTGAAAACTGATGTGATATTACTTTACTCTGCTTGCTGTGCCAATCTGCAAGTCCAGTAGGTTGCCAAGGTTCCAGCACTCTAAAATATGACATTCTTTCACCATTGCAAGATGACAAAATGATCTCAATAATAATTCTTAGAAATTTTATAACTCAACTGACTATACAAACAATGAATATAGTATATTTCTTTTTTTGAAAATTCATCTAGTGATTAAGTGTGTTAAATCCTGAAAATATGCAGAATTGAAAGATGCCAGATTTGATAACATTAAGATTGTGGTTTGGAAGATTTGAAAGGCTGATGAAAAAATACATTAAATCAACAATAATATGGAATCAGTAATACAACAAACATTAAATCAAGTTTATACTGTATATATATATATATACAGTATAAACTTGATTTAATGTTTGTATATATATATATATATATGTCGTATTATTTTGCAGTCGTAGTCATAAGGTCGAGTGTAGGTTGAACAAGACAAAGAAAATTGGAGACCATAAAATAACACGTCCGTTCACTTTCGGGTCCNATGTGTATTATTGATAGTCTTCTTTTCTTTAAAAAAATATTGATTCTCAGAACTTATTAAATATTTGCATATTTATAACAAGTCATTTAAAAACATCTTTATCAATAAATTCAACTACTATTCTGTTGTAAATTGCATTTTAACTAATTTTTTTCATTATTTAACAAGTTTTTCTGAAGATTGTTAAAATTACAATATTGCACTGAAATGTTTTCTTTTGCTTGAAAAAGTAAGATGTGAAAGTTGTTATAAAAGTTATGAAATTGGATCTAAATTTTTTTCAAAATAGATGGTAACATACCTCATTATGAAGAATTTAATACAAATTTGATTGTAAAAATAGTTTTCATTTATAATAATTAAAATTTATAGATTCAACTTATGATTACCAAAAAAATCTATAATTTTGTTTTCTATTGCATTCAAGCTTATATTTAACTGACTATTTAAAAAACATTATTTGCAAGACATTAAAACAGTAGAGTCCTGCAAACTGGACTAGAGGTGAAAGTTAATTACATGTATTTTTATTTATTTTTAACAACGCATGTTTATGGTTGTTCAAAATAAATCTGATAATGCTGTACAGTATATACAGGCAAACTTGCCTTGCTCTTAAAAGGTTTTAGGGTTAAATACTGTTTAAAAAATGATTTTTTATGTTGGACAAAACCCTGTTTGTAAAGAAAATATAACAGTATAATAGTACAAAAAGTTTTTTCCTGTGGTTTTATCATTACAGCATCTAATTTTTAAGAATTTCAAAAGTATAGGGGGGAAGGAATCTGTTTTGTAATGTTCAGATGTGTAAGTTGCATGTTTCTTGTTTTAAACATGCACATTAAATTTCAGGTCTCTGTTAGCAGATACTTATGTAAAAAGTTCATTTTTGTTGATAAAAATTGATTGTCTGTTTCTTCCATTTTCTCTGTCCTCCTTAAATGTATGGCTTAAGAATTAGAGAAAAGGCAATTTCAGAAAAATAGCTAAATTTTTAGCTTTATTTTCACCCACTACTTGATGTTATTGTTAAACATGTTCATAGTTTAAAATATTTTTTTAAAAAGTAAAAATTTTTTCTAGTTGAAATCTTGGACTAGGGCAAAAAATATCAGTACTGAAAAGCTTCAGAAATTACTGAGACTCCTGCATAGTGCTCTTGCTGAAAGCAATCACAGGTAACTTAAAATTTATGACAATTGTAAATTTGCAATTTAAATTTAATACTTTTCTATTGTTTCAGTGAATTAGCTTCTAAAGTAATGATTGAGTTGCTGGGTACATATACTGAAGATAATGCTTCACAAGCAAGAGAAGATGCACATAAGTAAAAAATTTTAATACCAAATATTCTTAATAAATATTTTAATTTTATTCTAACAACAAAAATATTTTATAGATGTATAGTTGCCTGCCTTTGTGATCCCAGCACATTTTTAATGGATCATTTGCTTACATTAAAACCTGTACGATTTTTAGAAGGAGAATTAATTCATGACCTGCTTACAATATTTGTTTCCGAAAAATTATCTTCATATTTACAATTTTATGAAGCAAATACTGATTTCATTCATTCTTTAGGTAAGTTTTGTATTTTAATATTTTATTTCATTTTATAATATAATATAATACTGTAATTATAATTTTATTAGGTTTGTCTCATCAACAAAGTCTGCATAAANATTTGTTCAATATGTTTATTTTTATTTTTTACTTTATTACGGTGATATTTGTCAGAAATAAATGAAAATGGTAAAAATATTTAGAATGAATCAAGCCTTAAAATTAAGTCCCATTTTCTAGTATTTTTTCAAAATTTTGTGTTTCAACTATCCTATCATATTGTTGATATATTGTGATAGAATAGTAATTCTTCACGTTTTGTAAAAGCATACTGATCAATAGCTTGCTATGATGTGTTTTATTTTACTAAAATTAAGATTACAAATTACAAGTTTTTGATAATGCACAATTATATTTCTAAAAAACAAGAGTAAAATAGTACACAGAAATATTTACTGCTAAACAAAAATCGTACTCCACAAGCGCCAACTCCACATTTTTCTTAAAACGGGACCACACAGGCTTCTACTTAGAGGAAAAGAAATTTGTAAATGGCAATAAATTACTAACCAGCCTTTAGTCGTTAACCTTTCTTGACAAATTACTCACAAACATCTAGATAAGAGAAACTTAAGCAAATAGCACAAAATTAAATATTTTCCTGTCATTTTTTTAGAAAACTTGAAATTTTATTAAAATATGACAAACAATAACATCTCAAGGCCCGACAATTATGTACTAAATCACCAAACGATCGCCTAAATATTGGGCTATAATATGGGTAATTAAATGATTGGTATTAAATAAATTGTCACTAGAGGTAGACGTTAGGTGCCATCTCTTAACTATATTAATACTGTAATTATAATTTTATTAGGTTTGTCTCATCAACAAAGTCTGCATAAAATGAGGCTTTTAACTTTTATGCAAATGGCTGAAACAAGAAGAGAAATTCCATTTGAAATTATTAAGACAGAATTGCAGTTAAAATCAGAAGAAGTTGAAAGTTTCATAATCGATGGTAAGTTAGGTTTTATTATTATCTCTAAATTAAGTTAAATTAAATGTATAACATCCTAATTCTTTATTTTCAGTACTCCGAACAAAAATGGTGCAAGCAAAAATGGATCAAGTTCACAAGCAAGTCATTGTAAATTCAACAATGCACAGAACTTTTGGAAAACCACAATGGCAGTTATTGAGAGAGATACTCATGAGATGGCATAACAATCTAGGACAAATTGAGAATAGTTTACAAACTATTGTACAGACTCAGTATGACCAAATTGCCTCCCTGCATGCTTGATTTGATTGGATATTTTTTCTAAATATAAATTAAAATTTCTTGTAGCCATTTTTTAAATAAACTATAAATGATTTAAGTTGTACATGTGTATTATTGATAGTCTTCTTTTCTTTAAAAAAATATTGATTCTCAGAACTTATTAAATATTTGCATATTTATAACAAGTCATTTAAAAACATCTTTATGAATAAATTCAACTACTATTCTGTTGTAAATTGCATTTTAACTAATTTTTTTTCATTATTTAACAAGTTTTTCTGAAGATTGTTAAAATTACAATATTGCACTGAAATGTTTTCTTTTGCTTGAAAAAGTAAGATGTGAAAGTTGTTATAAAAGTTATGAAATTGGATCTAAATTTTTTTCAAAATAGATGGTAACATACCTCATTATGAAGAATTTAATACAAATTTGATTGTAAAAATAGTTTTCATTTATAATAATTAAAATTTATAGATTCAACTTATGATTACCAAAAAAATCTATAATTTTGTTTTCTATTGCATTCAAGCTTATATTTAACTGACTATTTAAAAAACATTATTTGCAAGACATTAAAACAGTAGAGTCCTGCAAACTGGACTAGAGGTGAAAGTTAATTACATGTATTTTTATTTATTTTTGAACAACGCATGTTTATGGTTGTTCAAAATAAATCTGATAATGCTGTACAGTATATACAGGCAAACTTGCCTTGCTCTTAAAAGGTTTTAGGGTTATTTCAGTTTCATCCTTAAGAATTGAACAAATATGTTCTTGATAGGTGTATGAAGAAGCTGCTGAAAATATAAAGAAGCAATTTTTATTTTAAAACAAGTAACAGTAGTTGTTTTAAAAATAATTTTTAATATAATTTAAAATAATTTTTAAACTATATTAAATAGTTAATTTTTATAATCCTAATCTATTTCAGTTAATGTAACAAAATACAATTGTTTTATTTGATATTAGAATTCTGATTATGTAAATTGAATATTTTTGGCTATGATATATACTCAATAGATGGAATATTGACCAGTTAAATTATTACAAGTAATTGTAGTAATATTTTCATCTAATTGTCTAAATAACTTAAGATTCTGAATACTCTTAATGGAAAATGAGAGAATTAAGGAACATTTTATCTTAATATATAACGGGTGGCCAACCTGCTGCTCTTTAAAGGATTATTTGTAGCTCTCTATAAATGTATCCGAGTTCCCTTTTCATTTTTGTGTTATTATATTTTTAAAAATTATTATCGTTCCGTATGTGTTTCAAAATGACTTTTAAATTACTAACAACAAATATGAAAGACTAAGTGCAAGATTGTAACAAATTTCATTTCTGTCCAAGTTAAGAATGATATGACTCATCGAAAACTGCGCGAATGAACATAGACAGTAGCGTTATCGACCGATTTTGAATTTGTAAACTCATTGCAACAGACAGTTGACATTGTGCTCTGGAGGAAACAATTTGTATCACTCTTGCTACGGATATAATTTGTTATCTGGAATTTTTTGCATACCTTTTTAATACGTATTTAATTGCGGCTCGCGAAAAATTTCAAATTTTGAAAAATGGCTCGGACTATCAAGGAGCTTGGCCACCCTGGATATATAAGATTTATAAAGTTTATTAATATGTGACTCCTTGTGATGTTAATGTCAATTTTAAAAACACCAAACGATCGCCTAATTATCGGGCTATAATATGGCTACTTTAAATGATTGGAATAAAGTAATTTGACATTAGAGGTAGGTGTTAGGCGCCATCTCTTAATTAAATTTATAATTAAAATTAAATAAATAAATAATTAAATAAATTTAGAACATTCTGGAATAAAAGAACTGGCCCAGAATGAGTTGATGTTTATATATGTCAATTTTAAATGTCAAAATAAATGGAAGTTGATTTTCAAAATTAGTTTTTCCATGTAATTTTTGAACTGTTATATAAATGTCAAATAATCATACATTGCAGATTTGATAATCTATGAGGATCATTCAAAAAGAAACAAGCCAGAGGGCTAGGAACAGAAACCCTTACCTGTATGTCAGAAGACTGATTGTTGAGGCACTTGTCCCACTGTGACACAAAGCGGTGAATGGCTGTCTCGTAAAAATCCCAGGGCTGCGTTGTCAACCAGTTCTGAATGTACTGCTGGACGTCGTTGTCTGAGGTGAATCGTTTGCCCCTCAGAGCCTTCTTTCAGGGACCAAAAATGGCATAATTGCAAGGAGAGAGGTCTGGACTGTATGGAGGGTGATTGAGGAGCTCCCACTTGAATTTCTTCGAGAGTGCCGTGATTGTGTTGGCCGTATGAGGCCTGGCATTGTCATGGAGTAGAATGACCCTGTGGGTGAGCTGCCCTGGTTGTTTCGATTTGATCGCTTGGCGAAGGGTGGTCAAGGTTTGTGAATAATGCTGGGCATTCACTGTTGTCCCGTGCTGCAGGAAGTTGATAAGAAGGGGGGATGTTTTGGTCAAAGAAGAACGTGAAAATAACCTTTCCTGCACTTGTGTGGATGGCCTTGGATTTTTTTTGTTGGTGGTGGTGACCCTGGATGCTTCCACTGGAGACTTTGTCATTTCAATTTGGGTTCGAAGTGATGACACCATGACTCATCTCCTGCCACCACTCCTGACAGGAACTCATTCCCTTCCTGGGCATAGCATTCCATATGATCAAGACAGTGGGCCATTTGACATGCTTTCTGTTGTGGTCAAAGACTATGGAACACACACTTTGCGCCAGTTCAATCTTTCCCTCATGATGGTGTGAACACTTCCGACGCTCAATCCGAACGGCTTGTACCGTCACTTGGCGGTCCTGGGTAATGACTCCATCAATCAGCTGGACAATGTCATCAGTAATGCGGTGTGGTGTTCCTGACCATGCATCATTGGCTAACGACACTCGTCCTTCCCTGAAGCACTTGTGTCATGACTTGACCCTTGCAAGGGACATGCAGTGTTCATCGTACATTCTTTGATGAATGTCTGTTCCCCCTACTCCTTCTGCTGTAAGAAAACGAACATCTCATCTCCTCTTTGCTCTTCTTTTGGTGCCTCCATTTTATTGTTTCACTGTTTACATGACTGACCGCGGTGGACGATTGACACTTGCTTCTGCTAGCTTTGTAGTCACGTGGTATGCACCCGTGACTCTCTAGCAGCAGACTGTGATCTTCTGTGCTGTTGTCAGAACCACACATTCTTACACACGCAATGATATTACAATTCTGTCATCGGTTTTCACATTCCAGCCTCCGGCTCATTTCTTTTTGAATGATCCTCATATTATAAAAGTATATAAAATTTAAACTTGAAACAATAAAAATATAAATCAAATCCATTGTTTCTGTGCAAAGATGAGATGTACATTTTGGATAGTTTAACTAGGTTATTTGTAACTATTTTGTTATATATGAAATTGCAGTAAACATTAATTTAAATGAATTTAAAAATTTAAATTTTGTTTAATAAAACAAACTCAAGATTTTATGATAATGTTTATCAGTATTGTAACTGGCTTTTCAATTTTAGGTATTTTTAGGCTTCTCGTTTAATAGGGAAAATAAAAACAATTGTTGATTTGTTTTTTGAAACCGTGTCGTTTTATATTTGTGGTGTAGTAAACACTAGTATTGTGTTTTATTCCAAAGACACATGGCAAATTTTCCATCAAATTCCTTTATTAGCTGAGTCGACTCAACTAATAAAGGAATTTGATGGAAAATTTGCTATGTGTCTTTGGAATAAAACACAATACTAGTGTTCACTACGCCACAAAAAAAAAAAACCAATTGTATTTTTTGTGTACTGAAGAAATGTAAACTTTGTTGCAGTATATATATAACTTTTTCATCAGTTTCATTTTGAGGCCTACTATACTGAGCTTTATCTATGCACCTGTTTTGTAGAGCACTGATGGTTAATTTATTTTCCAACTGTTCCTAGTTCATCATTTACAATAACATATTTATTTGAAATGCACTATATTTCCGAGTTCAATAAGCAGGTTAAAAAGAAGTTTTTTCACTATTTAAAGTATAGAATTTGTCTTCTATTATTAACAAATGGGATCTGTTTCAAATTAATTAATTGGTAAAATAAAAATGTAAAATCATACTTTAAAACTTAATGCTTATGTAATTCTAGACATATTCAACTTATCATACTGTGGATCAATAGTTACTTATAAATCAATGTAATACATATAACTCAAAACCAGCATTACAGAATGAATTGGTAACTAGAATATATATTTAAAACAATATGTGTCATGTTTTAGTGTAAAGATAACTTTACATTGACTTAACTATCATTTAATACATAAGAGAATCAAGTTAACAAATTCCCAGCAAATATTTTGTAAATATTCAATAATTATAATATTGTATTACACAAAATTACATAAGCATGATGAGTTAAAGATCAATTTATTAACCTTTAAACACTTTTAAAATACAAGTATTAAAAATTAATTTTTGTGAAATGAGACCTGTAAAATAAACATTTTAACAGAAATTACCAAAGAAATCTAAATAATTGTAATTAAACTGAATTTAACTAAGTTCCACAATAGTTTCTTCCACTTCCAATGGAATTTCTTGCTTGGAGAGAATAGCCGTGGCTCCTCGTTCATATTTATACACTCCTCCCCTTTCTCCCTTCTTCGAGATGACTTCATAGGGACGGAGATGCGTAGCTCCTTCTTTAGTTATGACACACAGGTCGACAATTCCTCCCGAGCCCAAGTCATTCAAGATACCGGCGGCTATGGCATCTTTCACTAGTTTCTTTCCTTCTTCTAATTCCATGTTCGGCTTCCATCTGCTCTCGAATACCGTCATGGCGGCAAGAGAACCCGATCCCATGGTAGCATAAGGCAGGCTCTGAGAAGATCCGTGAGGATATATGCAGTAAATGCTACCTCCGGTCGAATCCACTCCTCCAAGTACCAAAGCCACGCCGAGGTATCCTTGGTATCTAAACAACATTCGTGTCAACAATGTATTTGCACACACGACTGGTACAGTTCTACCCATTTCCAAACGTAGTAATTCGAGCTGAGAAGAAATCAATTTTGTGGTCATTACTAAATCTGCTGCCGTTCCAGCTCCACCGCAATATATATTTGGATTCAAATAATGGATTTTACAGCAATTTTTATCGGCAACGATAGGTCCTTCGGTAGCTCTTGTATCTGCTCCCAAAATGACTCCATCCTTAAAAACTATACCTGCAATAGTCGTTCCCGTCTTTCTAAATTTAGGAACCGGGTATCCAGCTTCTTTAAGCATTTCATTTCGTCTACAATTATCGAAAACAAATCCGCTCTTGTCTGCTCGATCACCAGCCATCTTGTTTGATATTTTTGCAAGTAATGCCACACAAGTGTTGCCAGTTTCAAAGTAATAATATCAAAATTTTTTATTTACTAACATAAACGAATTAGTTTTATAAATTCTGTATCTATTTCATAGGTTGAGTCAAGTGAAAGGATTATTTTCTTTCAATCTAAATATATAAAATTACTTGTCCTGACTGACAGTGATTGATTCATCATTGCCCAGAGCAAACTGCTGAACCTGAGGTGAAATTTTGTACACAGTTAGGGTACATCATGAAAACGCACACTAAAAAGGATTTTTCGAAACTTCCCTGCGGGGGAGAGGATTAAGGCTTAACCAGAAGAATGACTTCTACTGAAATATTTTAGATTCAATTTTTTGTTTTTAATTACGTTTAGTCTTCATTGAGTACTTAGGAGTATTAAATTGCTAACATTTCAGACATTGTTATAATTATNATTATCACTCTTCTTTAATTAGGATTTTAAGCAAAATTTTATATTACAGGGTTATTTTATAGTAAGGGTAAAGAGTAAAGGCGATTTCACACTATGACTGACTAAACCAACTAGGCCGACCCGACCGATCCTATAATTCGCCCGACTGATAGCAAAAGCATTCACATTAAATACACTTGTATCGGCATTATGGCCAAAGTTTCTGTAATTTTTTTAAAAATATCTTTGAAATCAGCCGAAGTAAGGCCTGGATTCACGAAAGTGATGTTAGTTACAACGTCGTATTCTTGCGATGTTGTTAAATCCGACAAATTGTATCTGCAATTCACAAAGCTCTTAGGGCTGTTTCACACTATGACCGACCCCAAGTCGTGTTGCCATGGCAACAGCAGTCTGCCGACCGACTAGTCATTCCGGTCGGACAGATTTGAAAAGTTAAATACTGTATTTGTAGTCGGGTCGGAGTAGTCGGTGAGCTACAGCCAATGAGAGCTTCGAAGCTATAACCAATCAGAGTTTAGATTTATCCAATTTACGTCGAAGTTAGAAAATAGCGGAAAGTGTAGATTTCTCGGAAGCTTTAATGAACGAAGTCAGAACATATCCGTGGCTTTATGATATTCGGCGAGCCGATTATAAAGACAACATAAAAAAAAATAATTTTTGGACGGAGATTTCCAAGAAACTAAACGTTGAAGATACGCGATCTAATAATCTAATAATGACGCGATATATCTAAATGCACGATCGCTTTCCATGACGGCCATGTTTTCTGTTTAATTTAAAAAACTTACCATGATTGGCTAGTGTATTGATCTATAACACGCGTTCTGATTGGTCCTTATGAGTCGGCCACCGACATATAATCGTACTTAGTGTGAATGAATTTACTACTAGTCGGTCGGGTCGAATCAGTCGGTCATAGTGTGAAACAGCCCTTAGTAACCCGATTTACTATTTACGATAAAATATTCAATGATCTGATTTCGACAGTGTACTGTTTCATCCAATAGGTATATTGTTTGGGAACTTTCAAATGACACGACTTGTCTCCGACATGAGTTTCGGTGATAAAATGGAAGAGTAAAAAAAGAAGGCATATTTTACTACTTCAAAATAGAGGTATTGATAGATGGAGTCGAAAATAGAAAACAGTATTAGAAGGGAAGATGGGTCCAACTATTATCTCTCGTAAAAGGTAATTGTTGGAGATTAATTTGGAAGAAGTGAATAGTGTTAGTAATTATGCAAAAGCATAGATGATATTCGACGTAAATGAAGAAGGATTACAAAATCGTTTCAAAGAAAAAAGGCTAGTAAAATTTCTATATAATTGATTATAACAATTCTGTTATAATCAATTATATAGTTAACCATTCGGCCACCCGCCCGTACATTTATATGGATATATCAAAGGATGGGTGAGATATACTAATATAGCAATACAATATGTGGGCAATATGCAAAGAAAATGCCTCCAGAAAGAACTTTCGATGGAAAGCTGAACCATATTTAGATGTCAGTTACGTGAAGGAAACCCAGAAAAGTTTACATAGACAGTCCATTTGTGGACGCTAACTAAATTAGTGATTTTAACCACACGACCATTGATGGGATCGGATTTAACAAATAAAGATTATCTTATATCAGTCGACTTTTCTTACTACGCTTACTTGTTAGCATGAAGCAGTAGCGTAGCGTAGTGGGACAGGGGCGGCCCGCCCCGGGCGGCACTTTTTAGGGGGCAAAATTTGACAATAAATAATAATAATATCTTGTAAGAATTTGAACCATTTTATTTCATATTTTCGTCCACCTACGATTCGGACCGATTGAGATGAGCACGGAATAGTGGGAATAGTGTTACCATCCGACTCGCTGTCCGGGGATATCGTGCGCGACCTGTCGACCTTTTTTTTGGCTTGTACGATTCATTCGTACTCATATACATCTCCAATATCCAATAGGGCTAAGTCATCTAGATTACTTACGTTACTCCTACCCAAGTCTCCCTAGTCGCTAACTGTAACTGATTTAGAACCAGCATGCACTGCAAATTATTCTTCATTGCAAAATGATATAAGCATGTGTCCGTGAACTTCTGTTCGAACAAATCTCACCTGCCGTCAGGGTCGGCGATTTTAAAAAGGTGGCAACACTAGCACGGAATTTTTCATTACTTATTCTGTGACGAAACTGAATTTTAGTCTTTTAAATTGAGATACCTAAATACGGGGGCGGCGAAATTTTCCTCCGCCCCGGGCGGCTGACACCCACGCTACGCCACTGGCATGAAGATCTATTAAATAATTTATAACTTCTGTGACGTAAACAATTGCCGATAATGTAAGAATTTATTAGTCATTTTATAATAATAAAAAATTTTCTTTTATATCGGCAACTTTTATATCTAAAACTAATCAATTGTTACTTTCAGGACTGTTATAGAACATAACATAGGGAAAGTATGATAATCGGTTAAATTTTTACTTCCTAGATTTTCGCATTTCTTGACGTTTTGACACTTAGTCTAAAAATGTAAAAAAAAAAAAAATACCATACAAAATTCTGCATGCGTGCGTACTTATGTGTCGGTGTCTATTTTGCATTACATCTCAAGACTGGACGAACTAAAATCTCTGAAATTTGGCAAGATTATCTCTCTCCTTCTCAGCAATATTAGTTACTTATACTAAGAAACACACCTGATTTCTATTTGCCGAGTTTTTTCTTTATTCCAAACGTTTTCAGCCTATTTGGATAGGCCATCTTCAGGCTTTTACATTCATCCTTCCAAATGGAACAAATTTGTTCGAATTTATTTCATTGAAATAAATTCGAACGTTTGGAATAAAGAAAAAAAACTCGGCAAATAGAAATCAGGTGTGTTTCTTAGTACTTGGCAAGATTCTATGTATAGAAAATTGATACTATTAAATTTTGGTAGTTAAAAGTCAAGGAGGTGGACAGATAAAAGCGGTCATGTCTCGAGTGGGATCGTACTTAAAAATTTTTATTAGTTATTGGCATTTACAGTTTTTTAAAATTCATTTCTACCATCAAAATTAAGCTCTTTGCCTTTTTATAATAATTAATAATCAACAACTACTATAAAACAAAAATCAATTGTTGCCATAGTAGTAGTTGCTATGTTGAAAGTAAACAAGATAGGGTTATTGATAACTGTTTGATGAGTACAAAGCCAGAGAAGTGGAAATATGGCTACGAACAAAGCTAAAGTTAATAGTTCACTTAAAGTATCACAATCAAAAGCTGTAGTAAGTGAAAAAAAGACTTTAAATTATCACGATTATATCGAAAGAAACAAGAAATTGCTAAAGCTTGGATTTATTTCACAAATACAATGTGAAGAAATTAGAAAATTGAGAAAATCAATTGCAGACAAAGAAGAAATCATGGATAACTTAGAAAGAGACTATGAAGAAAATTTGCAAAAACTACAAGACAAAGTGGAAGAAGGCAAAAAAGAATGTGAAGAAGCTATGAGTTTAGTAACTAGTGTTAAAGAAAAATCATTAGAATTACTGGATGAAATTCAAAACTTATCAAATCGCAAGAAAATGATGGAATTCAAGATCCTAAAACGTGAACGAGAATTAAGGAAATTAGAGAAGTACAGAAATTTATTGCTTTGTTTAGCATCTCGAGAAGGAAATGAGGATTTAGAATGCTTTAAAAACCCAGATAAGATTAAGAACATTTTAATTAGATACGAAAGTGAATGTTTGTCACGAATTACACATAATTCAGAGCTCGAAGAGATGTTGAAAGATAAATGCGAAAATTTTAAAAAAACTGAAGAAATTTATAAAGAAAAATTAGACGCTTTGAATGATACAAAGAACTGTTTAGAAGAAAGTCTGAAAAAAGAAAACCAAAAATCGAAAAAATACGAAGAACTAATTGCTATGAGTCAAAACTCTGTGGAAAATATGGAGGATAAACGTTTGCAGGAAAAAATAATAGAAGTGCATCGTACTTGCGGAACATTTTTCGAAGAAACTGATTGGATAAAAATGTTGACAGATATTGAGGTATATTTGTACGGTTTATTAGATGATCTAGCTTCTTTTTCACCAAAACTTATAAGAAAGGTGTTTCGAGATAGACAAAAAGAAAAGCAAAGAGCAGAAGAAAAAAGAATACAAGAAGTAAAACTAAGACGAAAAAAAGAAAGATTTATTAAGAAATGGGGAAACATAGATATCAGATAACTTGTCATTCATTAATTTGAATGATTTACTGTGAAAGTAAATTGTTTCAAAAAATATTTTATATTTTATAAATACTAAAATTGAGTAACTCAAGTAATATAGTTAAGTGACTCAACAAACACTGATCTCTGTTTTCTTTTTTCTCACTGACTACTAAGATCTAAGTAAACAAGAATTTTTACTTTCGGAAAGATGTTTTATAAGGTTAAATCAATGGATAATAAACATCTTTCCTGATGAAAAATTCTCATTTACTTAAGTATCGGTGGTCAGTGGAAAGAAAGAAAAAAAAAATCAACATTTGTTATCTCAACTGTATTAATTCAGTAACTCAACTGTTTAAAAAACCATCCTTCAAATGTTTGTAATAATAATGACTATTACAAATGAATAGTAAATAAATTGTTTAATTAGCAAAAGCGGAAACTGGGATAAAATTATTATTAATATGTTATTATAAATGGAATCATTTACTATAAATAATATAATGCTTGTAATCGTAAAAGGAAATTGTAACAAAATTTTTATAGGTGTTGGCTCTGTATTGTTTTATGATTTTGTTTCGTTTAAAGGTCTTACTTATTATTTTAATAACGATGTGTGAAAAGATCGGATTGACACATTATCATAATGTAATGATAAAGGAAAACCAATTATTAATAACTATTGTAAGTTCATAGATTCAATTCGCCCTTTTTTGGTTTATAATATAATTGACAATAATTTATTATTAATAGTGGAATTATCTCTCGAAATTTGAAAAAAGAAAGAAAGAGGAATTTGCCGGACCCGAATAAAATATCTCATCAATAAAAAAATTTATATGCCCGGTAATTTTTTGGTGTTTTTAGTATATTATAATGAATTAGCTATATTTTGTAAATTGTGCACCGTATATATCAGAAAAATCTTTTAATCTTGGTTTACTACTTATGTTATGATTGTATTAATGGATATTAGTGTAATACTGTACGTATGTACGCTGATGAGGATCTTTGTACTGTACCGGAAATGCATTCCTACTAAAATTTGAGGTTAATTAAAGGCTATTTTTAGTAAAATCTAGTCTATTTATTCTAGTAAGCCCTCCAATTAATTACAATCCTATTTATTATTAAATTACCCTATATTTTTAAATTAATATTATTAATTTTATAAAAATATCCTTTTCCTTTCCTTTGCATACTTTAACACGAATTAGAACATTCTAACTCGTTGCCTTTATACAACAGAAATGGCATACCTCCTTCATTAAAAGGAAAATGGCGGTCGTGTATTCAATTTTCTTTAATTTAAACATGGCGTCACTACAGCTAATATGTAATATATTCTAGCTCGTTGGTTGCCGGCCGGATGGCCGAGCGGCCAAGGTGGCAGCCCACCGCTCTGGGGGACCCGGGCTCGAATCCGAACGGGTCGAAAAATCCCCAGGAAATCTTCGGGGGGTGGTCCGCCCGGATATGTCGGGCCCCGTCCCTCACCACCCGGCAGCCCCATTGTGGGCCTGGCCGAACCCATAATGGGCTTACAAAAAGAGGCCCTCTTAGTGCCCACAGGGCGGAAAAAGTTAAAAAAAAAAGCTCGTTGGTTGCAACCAAAGATATACTTGTTGTCAAAAAGGAGTTATCAGTTTCATTTTTTCTACGATTTTATACAATCTCTTTTAAATACGCGATTAGTGTGCTAACTTTTTATGTAATATTTATGATAGATGGTGGGATATAAGGTGGTAGCATATCGCTCGGCGGGACACGAGATCGAATTCGGACAGGTCGAAAAACCGCAGAATTTTCCAGGTATGGATGTGTCGGGCCCATCCCTCACCACCAGGTCACTCCATTGTAAAACTACTAGAACAATAATGGGCTTGCTAAAAATAAAGGCCCCCTTTGTGCCAACATGGCGAAAAGAATGTAAAAACCGCATATTTTTGATGGACGCATAAGACTAAAATTCAAATGGATTAACAAAATAGTTCTGAAAAATAAATAGTAATAAAGATGTGCATTCGAACATTACACAATTTTAAATTGTTTTATCAAAAATAATTCTTAAAATCAATAAATATATATTTAGTAAGACAGCATAAAAAAAGAAATAATCTCCTAAAATCTTATCTTTCATTGTTGCCAGGTCGGAGAGTATATCCGGCAACACTTAACTATTATTATTCAACCGCAGGGAAATTACAGGATGAAAAAGGAATATACAGGGAAACATTATTTAACTTACACTTCATTTCCTTTCAATTAAATAAGCCAAGTGGTTACCTATAAGTAGAACTTGGAAAAATTAACTCATATTCATAAATATTTTAATCATTAGAGTTTTATAAAAATCATTTTACGTTTTACCCGAGGGAAAAAAGGCAGCATGGAAGAAACAGAACGTAGGGAAAATTGTCCCGAAAACATCGACGATAAAGTGATAGAAACGGAAACATGTGAATCGCCACCGAAAAAGAAGAAAAGAAAATATTTTCAAAGGTACTTAATCGAATGGGAAAATTTAGCGCCGTTTAGAGGATGGTTAACAAAGAGTTCGAAAGGAGAAGGATACGGTTATTGTAGACTTTGCGATCGTGATTTGATGGCAGGAAAATCCGAATTACTCAGACACGCGAAGGGTAAAAAACATCAGGACAGATGCCTCAAGATACATAATCAAAGTTATGAAGTTCAAGTAGAAAACGAAGGAAACGAAATTGGTGGCGAACTAAATCTTGTCTGTTACATCGACGAACAAAATATACCTTACACGGTTACCGATCATCTACAGCAATCCATCTGTACAGTTTCCAGCATAGTCAAGGTAAGTATAGGGAGTTATGGGGAAACTTCTTGCAACTGTTTTTTCTTACTAAACATCGTGTATTTAATCAATGTTACGAAGTTGTGTGTTGCCAACGGCGTTGCAATTAATTACTATCGTAAGTGGACGTTTTCTACTATTTAATATTTTATAAATAACGTTAATTTACAGCATGATATTTTCTATAAATTGTATAAATTTTGGCACGACTATTTAATTGCGTTTTTTTTGGAATTTACCTGTTTTATATTTATAATAATAAGAATTTTTTCCCTAATTATGTAATATGGATTTCCTAGAATGTAACCACTGGTTTGCCCTGAAGGAATTTTAAAATATTCTAACTTAAAAGTTGATTAGAAAAGTTATTTTATAACTGAAGTTAATGTTATGATTAAAATAATTTTATATAATTGCTTAAATTCAAAATGAATTTAAAGTTATCATTTTTTTATCAACAAGACAAGTTGGCAATGCAATGTACTGTTTAGGTAAAAGTTAAAGCAATTAGACATGAAATTTAGATGGAAAATAATTGTTATTTAAGTATACGCTGGATTTAACCTTTAATGGTTCGCAACTCGGTACCATTTTTGATGAGTAACCTTCATGTAAGAAAATGAAGCAGTTGTGTCCTAGATAAACTATACAGAAGTAACCATTAATTACTACAGAAACTAAACTGAATACTGTGACAAATAAAAATGGAGATGTCCAAAGCTTTATTAATTAATAATCATTTGTCATAACAATCAATAATCGAGATAGCACAGTTTTTTCATAAAATAAATGGATTTTGAATGACTTAAGTGTCCGAAGCCAGTGCTTATTTTACGAATACTAGAAAATGCAATTAATTTTTTTTTGTAAAATATGAAGCAAATGCTTTGCTTCATATTTTACAAAAAAGCAAAGTTAGGTAGATTTTTTGCAATGTGTTCCAGCCATACGTAATGAAAAATGTACAAATTGGATGTGACAAAATAGAGCATAAATATTGAGTAAAATTATTTTGTGGAAATTTAACTCTCCATATTCAACAGTTATGTTTCTGTGATTAATAACAACTATGAGGGAGCAAAAAAAAAAAAAAAAAAATTTTCAAAAATCATGAAAATTAAACCTTAAACGATAAAGAAATTTCACTGATTAAATGTTTATTATTATTATTTCTTTTATTGCTTTCTTATTATCGATAACATTTTATTGCTAGATTACACACAGCAAATTCCAAATAACTTCCAAATAAATTTTAAATTGTCAAAGAATCAATCAAGCTATAACCAAGAATCTTTGCATTTTTTTTATAAATGTATTAAATGAAAGATTTTTATTATTTATATTTAAATTATAAAAGTACATCTATTATAACCAGCATAAAATCATTTAATTAATAACATCAGTAAAAGTTTAAAATCAAAAGTTCATCATTTTCAGACTATGTATATTGCAGATAATCTATTTTTAAAGTTTGCAGATTTATAAAATTTTTATAAAACTTAATTTTCATTAATTGAATTTCTGTATTTAAATGTATTATGTTTATTTAAGTGGAGAATACGCTCGGAGTTAATAATGTCATTTTTAAATAATATTAATAAAAATGTTTATTTTTTAATATGAGATATGAAATTTCTGCATTGTTTATGCAGTGTAGTTTCTTAAAATTAAAGCCTATTTCTCAGAAGATTTTTAAAACTTTATATTATTAAATTTAGTATTGAGAATCAGACTGAATGTCACCACATGACCACTTGTGAAAACACCTCTTGGTGTTTTAAAACAAGTGAAAGTGATATGGCTGATAGTTATTGTAGGTCACAGTTTAACAGATATTAATAATTCATTTTAGTCATGGCTGCTTAGAGCTTGTATGGGGCCCTGGGATAGAGTGAATCCCTTTTGCTATTTTTATTTATTTATTTTTGAACAAATAACATATGTAGAATGTTTTCTTTATTAATAAAAAGCAGCTTGAAAATTTTATTTTTTGTTAGTAAAAATAACATTAATTTATAGATATAAGAACCACTGTAGACCTCTAACTTGTCTCCAGACCTGAGAAAAATCTTCAGCTCCTTCCATCTTGATGGTCCTCATTATAGTTTTAAAATAAAAATATATATTTAAAAGTTTTATAACTAAATGTTAAACTTTAAAAGTTATAACTCTAAATTTAGAATATTGAAGTACTTAAAATAATTCTAAAGATTTTTTTAAAAATTGAAATTGCCTGCATAAACATTGAAATCGAAAGTCACAGCAGTGACTTCATGTTAAGTTAAAAAAGTTACTGACTGACTATACAGGAATGAGAGTTGCTGATTTTTAGGGATAGATTTTGCTGTCCCCCAAACACTTGAATTAATTCAATATCTCATTTGAAAGATAATTGTTTTCTTAGGAAGTGTGCAAAATTTCAAGATTCTCTGTAAAGGGGTTGCTAAATGTAAGCAATTGAAAGTGCAAAAATTTCCGAAAAAGCAGTATTTTCTTCTTTTCTTCATCCTGCACTGCAAATTCTCCTAGAGAAAAACCTACTGAGTATACAAAGTTCAAATTTTAAACTTAAGCTTTTCTCATTATCAGTGAGATGCTGGTGTGAGACCTGAAAGGCCCCTGGGTCTAAAATAGTAATTTTATTAATAATGTAAAATTTTGTCAGAATATTATTTCATTTTTGTGAGAAAAATAATGTTCTAACGTGGGAAAAATAGATAACAGATGCTACTTCCTTTCACAGAAGTTAGTACATCCTCTGTTTTTCCCTTATCTGCGAAAACTCTCGCTTTGATGGGAAATGTTTACCCCTCACATACTCCCCTTTCCATCCGTTCTCACGGAGAAATCTTTGCATGATGATTGGTCGCCAATCGTGACATATAGAGGAAATTTATCAGAATTCGGGGAGTTCATCAACAGACATAGAAGAGTCAGGACTCCATACATATTTGCTCTTAAAGGCCAACGCCTATGAGCCATATGACATACAAGGAATTACTTCGATAGATATAGACATTCTCATTTTAAGTGATCTCTCCAGAAGAGAAGAGAATACAGAGTACTCAAGACGTGCGGCAAATACATCAAATACATACGAAGATGAGAACAACTGAACAGGTTGTATGTTTAGTATAAATTTGTAAGCTCTCTCTCTCTCAATCTCTCGTATAGGTTATAATATAGTTCGTATTTATCTCGACGTGTATCTTAAAGTCATATTTATATCTCCTAATCATTTATATCTTGTAATAGTTTTATTTACTTATTAAATTTATTCTTGTTGTTTTATAAAAGAAGTGTCTCTTAATTTGAATCTGAATCAGATCTCCCCACGCATGTTTCTCCGCGTGTAAAACAACTGATAAACTGGTGTCACGGAATCCTGACGTTTGGGATAAGGACCTCACAGTCTTGAATCCCCCTTTTACCTAAATATTACAGCCCTTCCGGTCAAAATCTTGACAAGGATCAGATCTAATGATCTGAAATCTTTGAGACTATTCTCACGGAATAGTGCCGATTAAGTGTTACATGAGTACTACTTACTCCGTAACCCTGGCTGATCTCACATGTGGTGTCAGGAGTGGGGAATGAATCTAAAAATAAATCCATTAGGAAAATCAGAAGAAGGGTTTATGAATTGAATTAAAAAAAGATCTGATTCAGAGTGAGAGACAAATATTCAAATTGTTGCGTAGTTGATTCGAATTTTGGCTAACTTGATTGATTTTGGGCAAGTTGATTAATTTTAATTTAATAATTTAAGTTAATTTTAAGTTTAATATTAAAATACAGATAGGATAAAGTTATAATGGATAGAGATAGGGAAAATCCTCCGCGAGCTACGTTAGCTGGTAACCCAATAACGTTAGGCGGATTGGGAGGAATGATTCCTCTAATACCGGCATTTTCCGACGATGTAAAAGGTCCGAGAGTATCCGAATTTTTCGATACATTAGCGGGTGTGACTAGAGTAGCAGCATGGTCAAAGGCACAGATGTTGGCTGTTGCTAAGTTAAAGTTGACTGGTATTGCCAGAGAATTCGTGAGAAAGGATAGGAGGATTAAAGAAATCGATATTATGAGGAGTTTAAAAAAATAATGTTGGAACATTTTGAAAGGGTTCCATATACGTACCGTCTACAAAAATTCTACGCTTGCGTGCAGGGGAGAGATGAGGACGTGCAAACGTTCACTCCAAGCTTTAGCAGAGGAAGTCGAAATTTCCCATGAAGGGGCCAATGACGCTGAAATAGCGGTAATAAAACAAATAAAAGAAAAAGAATTAGACGAACGTTTAAGGGTTCAATTTATGAACGGGATAGATATTAAAATTAGACAAAGAGTCGTGTCTAGAGAGCCCGAATCGTTCGATCAGGCTTTAGAAATAGCGATTAAGGAAGAGGAGATTGAAGCCCTTACAAAATGACGCAATCATAGTGATATAATTCGTGTAGTAAAGGAAGATGTATCAGGGAATATACAGCACGGCGATTTACAAGAAATACAAGAGAAAATAGAATACTTGGTAGAACAATTTAAGATTTTACAAGAAAAAGAGCGAAATAAATATAATGATAATCTCGGAAAAGAAGCTCACTTCCGTAAAAACGCGGACATGAAAAAGCGAGATCAGTTTAGAGATAAAAACTTCCGTTCGTATCCACGAGACTTGCGCAATAATACAGATGCAAAGGTATGGGAAGGTACAGTAGCAAATGTTAAGAAAGATGATAGACCTATAGTGTTGGTCTACGTTAACAATATACCTACCAAGTTTCACATTGACGAAGAAGCGGAAACTTCGTTAATATCTAAGCGCATTATAGATAGAATCAAGCGGATAAAGCCTTTTTACAATAAACTACCAGTAATGATAGATAATTCATCCAGAAAAACAGTAGTGGGTATAGGAAACGCCACCCCTGAGTTTAAGCTAAGAGGAAATAAAGTTAGAGCTACTTGTAGAATAGTGAATTCAGGAGACACATACCCGTGCGATGGTACCGTAGGTAAAGATATACTAGAGAGAGAAAATATCAAAATAGACAATAAAGAATATAGATTAATTTTGCCTGATGGCAAGAGCATTCATTTTTGATCAGCCGTACCCGTATCATATTATAAGCGAGAACCTAAGAGATACCATTATAATACGAATCACAGAGGGGATTATTATAGAGAGAACTATATAAGAAGCATACAAGCATATCCCGAGCGGAAACGCTATTCGGAAAATACTTATGTTAGAAATGATAGAAAAACTGAGACAAACATATGTAAAGAAAAGAAAATATATAATAATAATACGGAGAGATCAATTCCCATAAAATCAAAAGGTATTGAAACTGCTAGACAACCACAGTTTAGAGAAAATGAAAATGCAAATAAACATAAGCGAAGAGCATATAAGGGAAATAAGAAAGGAAAGAAAATTTTAAGAAATTCCCCACCAAAGACAAATAATACTCGTGAGAGAAAGATAGACAATAGCGGTAGTAAAGAAGATACCTGTTACTCTGATTTAAATATGGTTAAAGAGATAGATAATGAAAATACGCAGGATAATATCTTCAAAGAAATGCTTCATCTTTTAAACAATACAAAGATTAAGTTTAGATCTATTTTTGAAATGCCAAGTTGTTAGTCAGAATAAAGACAAGGATCCAGTAATTTTATATAGAGAACGACAAGGATTTGATTCAATACACATATAGATAGAGTAAAAGATAAAATTTACTATTTCCATTCATAAATTAGAAAGGAAAAGGAAATAGACAAAAGGAAGTAGTCGCAGGGTGAAATATATTGAATGTTGATTAAAGATACAAAAATAGTAGATAAAATAAAAAGGGAAGTAAATCATTTCTGAAAGGAAGAGAGTTAAGTTATGTACATTGTAATACTTCCTATATACATTATTATGTTATAAAAAATTAGCATAGAATTTACATAAGAATATAAAGTCGAGTAGAATAAGAAACAATGCATAACATGTTCGTTAATGATATTTTGAATATACCTATGTTATTCTAAATATAATTAAAATAATTATCGATAGAAAGAAAATAGTTATCTGTATTTAGAAATAGTAAGGTTGTATTATTATCTTGACCCTTAAGTCTTACCAACTCCCGAGTGTCGAGAATAACTCAATAATCTTAAGAAATAATTAACCTATTAAATTTAAGATAGCAGTAATAAAATAATAAGCTGAGGTTAAATAAAATATACCTCACGATAATGATCGATTTGAAGATAAGGGAGTTAACCCTGATAGAATAACAATAATATTTTATGGAATAGTCTAGATGTAAGAATTACTATAGTAATAAGAGAGAGAGAGAGACTTTAATAGAGACATGTAATTTGTTAACATACTGCCTTTTGAAGTGAAATTATTTTGATGAAAAATGAACTTCGCTCAAACGAATTTTAATGACCCTAAAGTCATAAAACCCTTAAAGAACTCAACCACCTGAACTCTTGTGGTTATATTGAATAAAATATTAGAAGAGAAGAAAGTATATCAAGTGAAGGAAGAAAACACATTTTATCATTTCGAACTGCACAGTGAACTTTGAACTTTTAAAAGGTGCTGCATGATAAGCAGAAGACATCATATGATCTTCAAGGACCAATGATATTATTGAATGAAATACAAAAAGTCACCAAATGGAAGTGCTTCAGTAAAGGCTTTCGACATAAACACGTTCCAGATGCGTTCCAAATGTGTGAAAAAGAACAATAGGAACTTAATAACTTTTGAGAACAATTTCTTAAGGGAAATTATTTTAAAATGCACTCCCCACTACAGTCAAGTTATTTTTAGAACATTCAGTGAAAGCAAGAGTGCGTTTGAACACATAACGACCTATGTTAATTTTTGCCGTCGTTTCAAGACAAAGACGTCTGCATTTATTTTGTTTATTTTAATATTATTCTTTTGATGAATTGTTTATTATATTATATCAATGTATATCAATATTGAATTTGATTTGAATTATTGTATACCTTTAAGTAAGTAAGAACTCTATACGGAGAAACTGAATGCTTTAAAATTGAGAAAGGGGTGCGACAAGGCTGCATTTTGTCTCCATATCTGTTTAACTTATATACTGAATATATCATGAGAATGGTTACTACAAATGAAGAGTCTATTGGTATCAAGATTGGAGGCGAAACTATTAATAATATAAGATATGCAGATGATACCACCCTTTTGACAGAAAGCAAAGCAGATTTAGAAAAACTTATCATAAGGGTAAAAGAAGAAAGTGCTAAATTTGGTTTGAAGCTAAATGTAAAGAAAACTAAAGTAATGTCAACTAAAGAGTTAAAAGATTTCATTGTGGATGGTGAAAGAATTGAAGTGGTAGAAAGTTACATACTTTTGGGCTCAAAGATAGAAAGGAATGGAAGTTGTGAAGGAGAAATCAGGAGGAGAATTAATCTTGGCAGAACAGCCATGGCAAATCTCACCAAGATAATGAAAGATAAAGACATTTCCATTCATACTAAGAAAAGAATTGTAGAAGCAATGGTTTTCCCTGTAACATTATATGGCTGTGAAAGCTGGACTCTAAGGAAAAAGGAAAGAAAAATGATAGATGCATTCGAATTATGGGTATGGAGAAGATTACTTAGAGTTCCATGGACAGAAAAGAAAACAAATATCTCAATTTTAGAAAAAATTAAGCCAAGCTTCTCCTTAGAGTCAAGAATCTTAAAACAAAAATTGACCTACTTTGGACATGTGATGCGTAAAGAAGTTTCCCTAGAGAAGACTATTATGCTGGGAAAAGTGGAAGGTAGAAGGAAGAGGGGAAGGCAACGGATAAGATGGATAGAAGAAATACAAAAAGTCACAGAAATGAAGCTGGAGGAGCTACGAGAAACAACAAGGGAAAGATCAAGATGGAGAAGACTTGTCCATGAAGTCACCAGGAGTCGACGACGACTCGATGGAACTTAACAACAAAATACCTTTAAGATTTTATTATTATGTATAACGCCATTTTTCAGAGAGAGAGAGAGTAATTCGAACTTATGTATTGCTGTGAAAAATCAAGCCTTCTTTAAATGTAGTGTGATTTTTGAAGATAAGGGAGTAGTGTGAGACCTGAAAGGCTCCTGGGTCTAAAATAGTAATTTTATTAATAATGTAAAATTTTGTCATAGAATATTATTTCATTTTTGTGAGAAAAATAATGTTCTAACGTGGGAAAAATAGATAACAGATGCTACTTCCTTTCACAGAAGTTAGTACATCCTCTGTTTTTCCCTTATCTGCGAAAACTCTCGCTTTGATGGGAAATGTTTACCCCTCACATACTCCCCTTTCCATCCGTTCTCACGGAGAAATCTTTGCATGATGATTGGTCGCCAATCGTGACATATAGAGGAAATTTATCAGAATTCGGGGAGTTCATCAACAGACATAGAAGAGTCAGGACTCCATACATATTTGCTCTTAAAGGCCAACGCCTATGAGCCATATGACATACAAGGAATTACTTCGATAGATATAGACATTCTCATTTTAAGTGATCTCTCCAGAAGAGAAGAGAATACAGAGTACTCAAGACGTGCGGCAAATACATCAAATACATACGAAGATGAGAACAACTGAACAGGTTGTATGTTTAGTATAAATTTGTAAGCTCTCTCTCTCTCAATCTCTCGTATAGGTTATAATATAGTTCGTATTTATCTCGACGTGTATCTTAAAGTCATATTTATATCTCCTAATCATTTATATCTTGTAATAGTTTTATTTACTTATTAAATTTATTCTTGTTGTTTTATAAAAGAAGTGTCTCTTAATTTGAATCTGAATCAGATCTCCCCACGCGTGTTTCTCCGCGTGTAAAACAACTGATAAACTGGTGTCACGGAATCCTGACGTTTGGGATAAGGACCTCACAGTCTTGAATCCCCCTTTTACCTAAATATTACAGCCCTTCCGGTCAAAATCTTGACAAGGATCAGATCCAATGATCTGAAATCTTTGAGATTATTCTCACGGAATAGTGCCGATTAAGTGTTACATGAGTACTACTTAACCCCGGCTGATCTCACACTGGCAAAACTTCTGGATTGATATGTCACAGTTTGTGGGAGTTTCCTGTAGAGCTTAATTTTATGCTTTTAAGGGTAAAATTACATTGAAACAAATGATTTTCATTCAAAATGCTATCCAGAATAACAAAAACTCAAATTTGTGCAAATTAAAACTTTTTATAGCAATTTTTGTAAAAGTTGTGTGAACCATATTGTAATATACATCATTGTCTTATGGCTTGATGTAATAATATAATTATTAACTAAAAACAATTGATATCCAAATGAAATCACCTGAAAGGTAGAAATATTACATGAAATAAAAACTTATGACAATTTAGACAACAGTCAAATTGTTTCTTAGCTGTTTTTCTTTGCTAAGGATAAGTTTGGTGCTTGGAAGCAGTACTCACAAGATTTTTATCTGTATTATTGTTTTTACAAATCACTTCCAAGCCCCAAGCTTATCTTTACCAAAGAAAAACTCATAAGAAAAAATTTACAGTTTTTTTTACATCTCAGATGATTTTGTTTGTATAGAATTAATCTCTAATATTATTTTATTCAGCTAATTTTTATTGTAATTGAATACATTTGTAAATTAGTTCTGAAGAATCTTGTTGGTTTTAACTGGTTGAGATACTTAAATAGTTTGGATTAAGTCTATGAAGATTTTTGAATAATCATAATATTGGAAATAAAGTATTCAGAATTCATTTTAACACTTAATTTTGTTGTTTTTTTTTAATGTAATGTTAAATGTGTTGGATTTATTGTTTAATTACTAAATATAAAAATTATTCTTGGATTTTTTTTAACTTTATGAATAAATTTATGAGATATACAATAAATTTCTATATTCAGTATTGTACTATAACTTTAATTTATATTATGGCAATAAATCAATTTACAGCAAATATTTTACTTTTTATGAATTTATCTGCTTAAAGAATTTGATTTTTTTTTGTCAATACAGATTGAAGTAATTGAGAATGAAATATCAGATATCACATATTTTATTCCTAAGAGTTTATTTTGTTTCTTGTTATGTTATTGTCATTGATTATGAAAGACGTCTGAGATTCATGTATCTTTAAAGGTAACTTAGTTTTCTTTTTATCAATATTGTTTTCAACTTACCCGAGTTTTTTAAATAAATAATAGTCCTGAATAATAAATCTGAAATACTTTTTGTTTTGTTATTATAATATTTTCTTATTTTAAATGTCAATTTATATATATGGAGAGATTATAATTAAAGTATTCTTATTTAGAGACAAATAGAGATATCTACTGGATGTAATTGGAACTAACTTTGTAATAATATTATCCAAGATATATGTAAGTGATCCTTGAGGGAAAAAAAATTTAGTTTCAAAACATATCACCAAAACAACATAGCAGAGGTTGATGTGGCATAATGAGACAAGTAAAACCATGATGTATGTGCTTTGAAGACGAATGCTGTGTGGGTTGATACATGTAAACAGGTATATATGCATGCTGGCTTAAGTTTTTGGCTTGAGAAAGTGAATTAGAGGAGACTGGGTATAGGGAAAAAACTTTTTATTACATGGACTTTATTAAACCTCAGTCTATGGTTTAGATGGCATGATGAGAGATTGCACTTAGACAATATTAACTATTTTAGGGAAAACAGGGTGACAGGATGTGATAGTTCTGTGGTAATTTTGCTATGCATGCAAGTACTTAGGCTGTACAAGTTATAATATGTCATTTTTCCTGAAAAACAGTATTTGTGTAAACAAGTGAACCTTCTGTTGTGTGAGTGATAATTTGGAAAGTAGGTGGTCTAGAGAGATGAACTATGGATTTAACAATCAATCATATACATTTTTATAAACACATTTACATCTAATAACAAGTTTAATGGAGCCATAAAAAAAAGTTACACATTTCGTACTCACTCATTTAACCTTTACTTTTCAGTACTGTTTAAACTTCCAGTACTGAAAGTTACTTGCTGATGGTTGTATGTGTAAAAGAAAGTTGGAGAAATTTAAAATGAAAACAAAATAAAATACATATAACAAGGGTTAAATAAAGTACAGTACATATGTACTGCAATTAACAGTTAAAATTAACAGTGAAACCTTTTTTAGTTGCTTTATAAATTTCAAAGTTTTGAAAATACTTCACTTGTGCAGGAACAGATGTGCTATGTAAGAGATGTGCATTAATCAAGTCCACACGGATGTCATTGTCATAAGCAAAGGCCACAAGGGCTTGTTTTGCATAAACATTTTCAACAGTATAGTGATGTTCCTTTAGTCAAATTATTCAGTGGTTTGTGGGTAGCTCCAATGTACTCATAGTGCCAATTTATCCTGTTATAAAGAATGGGAATCGTGTAAACTCCAGGAAGTGAAGATTGTTCACATCTGTATTATTCCTCAGCAAGGAAAAATCCATTAGTCTAATGTTAAATGCAATATTAATGTTGGCTAGTTGGATATTTCTCCATAGGTACTGTAGAGAACCCTGTTAAAAGTAACAGCCTTTTATGGCAGGTCATTGCTCTCACTAGAATTGACTTGGATAAAATAATGCTGGATGAGCTTTTGATGAGATTTGTTGAGTAGCCTATGGCAGTGGCAATGCACTTAATACATTGGAACTCTTTGTACCCAGAATGTGGATCACAACAATGAGTATAAGTCCTTTTTATAAGTATTCTGAACACTGCTATCTTGTAAGCAAATGGATCATGGGATGTCGGTAGAAGTTTTGTTCAGCAGATGCTCCATAATCTGAAAGTTGTTGTTAATTAATAATGATGCACTCACCAAGTATTAATCTGAGAAAATCACATTACATCACCAGGGAAATTGCAGAAGTGTTATCTATCATTCAGGGAGTGTTGTTGGCCATTTAGATACACAACAATGATCTACAGACACATCTGAAGATGTCCTCATTACTGAAATAAAATTTTGCTCACTTTTATGGTGTTTTAAGTGTTGCTGAAGTAAAAAACCAAGCAGATTAGATGAGGATGAAATAAATCTTGTCAATGACACACTACTTTCCTATATCTATGGAAGCTAGAAAAGCTTGCATGTTTTTAACGGGATTTCCAGAAACTACATCATTCATAAAAAAAGATGCATTTGACACTGCATCACTCATCAAAAATTGCATCAAAAATATTGTTGAGTTAGAAGCAATGAATCATAGTAGATAAACTTGTAAAACAGACTTTTTTTCACATCATGTCAGTGCTTTATTTAGATCTAGAAAATAATAAAATATATATTTAAGTCTAACTGTATTGTGATATATATGAGATCGTTAAACTAATGTTAGTTTTTGTAACGAAGTTTTTTCATTTAAATGTTTATCTGTCCCTTCCACTTTGAGTGTGTACTGTTTCATTAATAGATAAAAATTAAAAAAAAAATAGAATGAAATATCAACAATTACTTGTATTTTAAAGCTAGTGAAGTGAAACACCAATGGATTCTGTGGCTGAACAATTACTGTCAGATGTTGTTCATTTAAAATTGGTTTTAGAGTACAAAGATTATCTTTATAATGAGTTTGATTATAATGTCCTTTTGTTTTTGTGTGTCCACCTGTGGTACATTACAGCTTATTTCATCCATCTTTACTTTCCATCCAATCTATACTTTAAATTTTATCCATCATGTACGAACTGTGTCTCACTAAATTGGATGTATTTTTTGTTAGGGAATACTAAACTAAAGCAAGTGTCGATATTGCAAACTGTGTATGAACTGGCAATACCTGTGTAAGACCACTCGAAACAAGATGAGATCTGTTTTCAGTTGCACACCATGTTATGGCTATGTGAACAAGTGCATGTATAGTCTTATATTAGAATAAAGTTAATTCTAAGTTAAAGGACTGCCTCATCATTGTTCTAACAACAGTTATGACAATAATATGGACCCAGGAATGAAAAATTAAGTATCAAAGACTAGAATTACAAGAATTAAAAGGAAATAGAATTACAAAGCCTACAAAAGAAAAATGGCAAGTCAACTAGCTATATGAATAGAACCCACTGTGTAAAGAAAACTTCAATACATGGAAGATACAGATGAACAAAAATGATTCCTGGGAATACATCAGCAGAAAAAGAAAGAAACCAGAAATTATACTTGGAGATGAAAGTACAATGATGGTGGCAGAACAATGGGACACAGTAGACTTGAAAGCAATGTGTGATATAATCCTCGCCATAAGCCCAGCAGAATTAAAACAGACAAAAGGATGTGAAACTGCACATAAAATATGGAATAAGCTACATGAAATTTTTGAATTGAAAGGTCCTGCGAGAAAGGCTAATCTACTAAAGAAATTAATTTTCAAGAAAATGAGGGAGGGAAGGAGACAACATGGCAGATCACGTAAGAGACTTTTCAATATAGTAGATAAGTTAAAAGAAATGGAAATCTCCATAAACAAAGAACTATTAACAGTACTACTGCTATACAGTATACCATACTCGTTTGAACAATTTCAAATTGCTATCAAAACGCAAGAGAAGCTTCTTTCAAAATAAAGCTAATAGAAGAGTATGAGACGTAAAAACGAAATGACGATACCGATGACTCGAAGAATTCAGATGCACTGTATATAAGCAAACAATGGACAAAACAATCAGAAAATAAAGGGCCATTCAAATTCAAATGCCATGACTGTGGCAAAATGGGCCATAAGGTGAGAGAATGCTGGGACAGAAACAAGCGAAACCATATAGAGCTATAACTACAAGCCTAACAACATGAAAACAGTAGTTTTATAATGGTAATATTACAGCAAATGAAGGGAGAGAAAATCATAAATGGTGTATAGACTCAGGTGCTCCATCACACATGTGCAATGATAAAGCAAGATTTTCTAACGTTGAAGCATCCCATGTAAGTGAATTAAACTTGGCCGACTCACCTACAATGGAAATCAAAGGAAGTGGTGATGTAATAATTAAAACAAAGGGAGGATTTCAAGCCAAATTAGAGAATACACTCCTCGCACCAAAACTGAGGACCCACTCTCCTGTTAGTAGGGATGATAACTGATCATGGATTCAGTTACTATTCCAGAAGAACCAGGCAACTATTATGAATCTGAAAACTAAAAGCATACACATGCAAACATTTAAAGGAAGAGGACTATACTATGTAAAAGAAAGGTGAGAGGAATCTAAACTCTCTCAAACAAATGTTAATGAAATGAAAGAGTGGCACGAACGTTTAGGTCACTTAAAAGTAACGTATGGCACATGGCCAACAGCGTAAAGGTCAAAGGACTAAATATAGGATGAAAAGAAGAACTTGACTTGTGAGATCTACATAAGAGGGAAACAAACCAGATCACTATTTCTGAAACAAAACAAAGAAGAACAAAAGAAAAAAAAACAGGCCACTCAATTTAACTTGCAGATTCAAGAGTTGAAAAAAATGACTGGAAGAAGAAATGAAATTGGCAGCAGTTTTAGAAGAACACAGAAAGAAACAGACAAAGACATTGAAACACTTCAGAGACAGTTGGACGAATTACAAATAGTTAACAGCAAATTGGAAAAATCGAGGAATAAACTGTAGTCCGAGGTAGATGATGTCACAATAGAGTTGGAGATTGAAAGTATCTGAATTAGAAAGGGCAAAATAAACATTAGAAAGTCAATTAGAGGAACAAAAAACACAGATAGAAAAATTAGAAGGCGAGTTACTGTTGATTGAAGATGCAAAATTAAGATTAGAAGTTAATATGCAAGCACTGAAAATGCAGTTTGAGAGAGACCTGCAGGCCAAAGACAAACAGTTTAAACAAGCACAGACTCAGATGAAGGATTATCAGAGAGACTCGGAAGAAGCCAGAGCCAGTAAAGCCAAACTAGTGTTACAGATGAAAATGAAACAAACAAAAGTGAAAACAAGCAGAATAATGAACTGGTAAGAGCAAGTGAGAGAAACTTAACAGAACTGCCAGAAGGGGCAACAACTATCAAATGTAAGTGGGTCTACAAAGTTAAGGAAAACATCACCGACAGAACAATATGAATAGAATACATGGATACTAAAAGTAACATTTTTGATCCACCGTAAATGCATAACTAGCAAAGAGATCACTAAGTAAAGATAAAGTCTGTTCGAGAGGAGGGATTGTTAGGGAATACTAAACTAAACCAAGTATCAATATTGCAAACTGTGTATGAACTAGCTACATCCATGCAAGATCACTCAAAACAAAAAGAAACCTGCTTTCAGTTGTGCACCAAGTTATGGATATGTAAACAAGTGCATGTATAGTCTTAGATTAGAATAAAGTTAATTCTAAGTTAAAGAACTGCCTCATCATTGTTCTAATATTTTTGTTATTTATAATAAAAATAAAAAAAGGAATTGCTGGATTTTTCAGTTTTTAATAAAGTTTGCTGATTAGGCTTCAAGTTTCAGCCAAAAATTATGGTGGGAAAATTAGACTTGGTGATTGATTACATTATCTATAATAACATCCAACAATTGTCTAAATGATGGGCTATAATTCGGCTATTATAATAGCCGAATTATAGCCTGATCATTTAGATGATCATTGGATGCTATTATATATACTCATTGGGCTTTACGATGTTTGTTATATTTATAGATTACATTCTCATTTATGTATCATTTTTATTTTTAAATAATTTTTTTATTAAAAGTTGGGTACATAGATAGTAAAAATGTAATATTATACTACAAAATAATGATAAATTCTGTTTATTTTTACCAACATAAATGCATCTGATACAGTTCAGTTTGTTTATAATTTGTATCATCGAAAGAAGTGCTTGTGTTCAAAATAAGTATATTTTGAACACAATACAATGGTATTTTTTTTTGAATACTTTGAACAATTTTGAATACTATACAATGGTAGAGCTGCTTTATTTGTGGCCATAAACCAAAGCCAAACTCCTAATGTAAAAATGCATGAGTTAAGTAATAGCAAATTTTACTGTGATGATGAGCACAGAGGTTAATATGAAAGACACAAATGTGTCATCTGTGTGTGGGGGCCGAGGGTGGGAGAAATAAAAAAACTCGATGAACGATAATATGTGATATATATTGTCATTGCCTCCCTTGCTGTTTGGATTGCCAAGCGGTAACAATCAACGACATGTGGAAGCAGTTGAGTCAGAGATAGATGCTTCGTTTACAAACAACATAACCATTTATTAAACACGAAAGAAGCTTACAAGATGTTTGCGATCTTGGAAGTTCTTCGGCAGCTACAGCCTCTGGGTCTTCCTCTCCTTTCCAAGATTGTCCCATTTTGATTTAGTGTCCCTTGTTCGCGAATGAACCATTCCATCACGTCTCGACGACTCCGGGACGATGCGGTCGACTTCCATTGATGGAAAGATGTCGATCTGAGGTCGGAAGATGGAGACAAAGATGGGTGCGAGACACACACACAACAACAGATCCGTCACTTGGAACTTTCGGGAGAAGAAGCCATTGCATCCTTGAATTTCCGGGTTTTTATCCGTTTTCTCTCAGATTCCCCTTTCCAATTGGTCTCTCCTCGTCATGTGATGACAATTTGAAACTTTTCGGGGGTGCGGGAGAGGTCAAAATCAAAGTTTAATTCGATCTCCAACCGGAAATGGTCAACGGACTTACATTCTTTTATTGTTTAAAAGTTAGTGTCGCGCTTTCATAAAATAAAAATCTATTTCTAACTACTATATGCTTTTTTATCTAAAACAATTATTTTAACGTGAATTTTAGTGAGGGTTTGGACCTGTCCAGAGCCTCACATGTGGTACAGAATGTTGTAAACATATTACCAATACAAAAGAATAATAAGTTTTCTTCCTAAAAATATAAATGCATCATTTATTAGATCTTAAAGTTAAATGCATTTTTTACAGTTAAAATTTTGGATAAATTTCAGTTGAAAAATAACGACTATTGAAATAGTCCAGTTCATTGTTTGAATGAAGTAAAAAGTGTAGTTTTTTTAGGATGTGCAATTGCTTTATCATTTTAAAGATAGTATTATTTTCTATTTAAAATGACAAACAAGCATTATTAACATTAAAAAGAAATGAAAAACAAGTTGCAAAAAGCTTTATATAAAATGGATCCATATTTATTTATTCATTCATATTATCATTTTAAAACTATTTATTTTAACCCTTTTAAAGTAAAATAAAATATTACCGGTATGATGATCCATACTAGTATAAAATAAAAAAAATTATACAAATAAAAAAATTCTAGAAATCTGTTAGCATCTTGCATTTGTTATAATCATAAATAATTTTTGAAATTCATCTATTGTAACCTTTGATTGTAATTGACAAGACTATGTCTTGTTTATAAAATCGTACTGCCTGATTCTCTTACCAGCATAGAGGTATGAAGGAATACATGTCGAGAGTTGATATTTGGCACAGAGTATTAGGTGCCCAAATCATTTGCACATAAAAAATCCAGACTCATAGGTAGGCAGGGGACCGAGAATTGAGTCAAAATAAAATACAAAATGGCAACCCTCAGTTGGAACATGGAATTCTCCGTACGTATCAGGTGGGTTAACCTGGAATACATGAGTTTCCTGGTGATTCTAAGTGCTCTGTTCATGCACATCCATCTGATCTTGGAAATCAACGATTCATTTTCCTGGGGTAGTCGAATGCGATAAATGGACATTGGAAATACGCGCAGTTCTTTGCAGGTCTTCAAAAAAATAGAATCTTCTACAAACAGACAAAACAGCCACCTCACCCCACCGAAGTCAGGTAGGGGAGAGTACCACCCACAGTCATTCTAAGAAGTGAACTCTGACCTTAGGATTGAACACACAGTTTCTTCTATGTTAAATAAAATTTGTAATTTAATTTTGTAAATTTGGGAGTACTTCAAATATGACGTTAAAACGGTTTTATGTCATTACAAGTGGGTTTTTTTAACATTATCTAGTATAGTAAAATCATAGGACTGATAAAAATTTGACGTTATATTAAGGTTGTTGTTACATTCGATGACATTATAATCGGGTTAAACTGTATATTATTTGTGCAAAATAAAAAAATAATTTCGGACGATACAATAGCCACAATTGTTTTTTTTTTTTAAATGGGAACTTTTCATTATGCATCGACAAAAATTCAACCTGGGCCAACACACAATGGAGAGAAATTTTGAAATTAGATAGGTTAATTTCATCGAAGATGCATTGTGGACAATCTCGTGGTCATAGCTGGTGAAGTTTGAACTATTGCACCCAAAAGCAGCAATATCAAAGAAGATAGAAGAATGAGAACGAGACCTGTCTTGAGCATCGAAGTGATTCCATCTCCGAGATAGTCTTGTGCCAAATACATTTTTGCCGTTTTACTTGTTTTAACTAGTTTTGCCCTGCACAATATGATAGTTTTGTCTATTTAAAGAATTCCTTATGCTGTACTTTCTCTGAGTACTAAGTTCCACAGAAGGCATGTTTTAATCAATACAATCTTTTCAGTTCAATATGTATTTATAATGTATGTATGTATATATGTGTGTGTTTTTTCAGTTTTTTTTTCTTACTGGTTGGGATCATTTTGGATTTGAGGCAATTATTTGATATTGGCATTATGTGATTGCAATGAAAAAATTTTTACTTATTAATGAATTATGTGCCTTATTAGTGTATTCAGTATAACTTAATAAACTAATTTTTATGAAAAAATTTTTTTATGGTCTTTTGAAGAATACATTTATGTATTTTGTTGTTCTATATTTTGTAAGATAGGAAAATCTTAAATGAATGAATGTTTAAATCAAGTATTTCTTATAATTTTCAATATTTTTTAAATGTTAGTAATTTCTAAAAAGCTTTTGAAAATACAGAGCAAATTTTGAAAAGACTAAGAGATCATTTATAATATATAAAAAAAACTATTTAATTACATATTCCTTTAGATTTTTAGAATTTGCAATCTCAAACTTTACAAATATTTCTTGTTAACAATTTGCTATTATCTTTAAAATTTTATTTGATAGAAATTGATCATTTCTCTACAACTATTAAAATCGATTGTGTATGTGAGATTGATAGAAATCGATCGTTTCTCTACAATTGTGAGAAATCGATTGTTTATGTGAGATTGATAGAAATTGATCATTTTATTCAGTTTTATAGATTGAAATTGCATGAATTTCTCGAAATAGTAATTTGTTATACTGAAAAGGCTATATTTATTTTATAGTTTAGGAATAGAATAATTTTTATATGTAAACAAACATAATGAAACTTGATATATTAGTAAAATGCCAAATGACTAATTTTTGTATCTTACAAAAAGTTTTTTGAGTATAATAATTAATTACAGAATGTAAGACTCTGGAAAGTTGTTAGCAATTTCAGATACTTTGCATTTTTCTACAGAATAAACTATTTTTACTTTAAATACTTTTTATTTTGAGTTATTGATCTAAGTCCACTTTATCCAGGTTGTCAACAATAGTGATGAAAAAATAAGTGGAGTAGTTGAAAAATACTTCGAAAGGAGCAAAACAGAGGTGAATATAATTATGTATTAAAGTAGTAAAAAGTAAATGGACTAGAGAACATTTTAAGGATTATTTCATATTATTTTCTATTAGTTCAGAAATGCAATAAAATAATATCTGAATTGATCTTTATTGCATTTTACTTAGTGATTGATATATCATTTGCAATTCATAAATATATAGTATTTTCAGTTATAGCTCAGTTCAATAAAACATATTTATATCAATTTTTTTAATAGTTCACTTGTTCAAATTATTTTTTGTTAACTAAATAGATTAAGATAAAATTTAAAAACTAAATTAAAAATAATTCCTACAGACTGCAAAAATTAAGACTTTATTCTTTGTTTTGAAATACTGTAGTTATCTTAATATAATTTATAATGACAGTTGTAATTAGTTTAAAAA